TCAAAGGACAGGTTCTGAAGCAATCTTCCCTTAATCGATGCTCCTTTGCCCTGGGCACCTGAAGCACCAATCTTCCCAAGGACAGAGGGAAAACAACGTGGAGAAGACAAATGATTCAAAACAGTGAGAATTAGGGGCAGGAAAGCAAGGAGAACAGATGCTTGTCTTTTTTCACCTACCCCTTCTAAGTGAGAATAGCTATTGATTCCTCTTCCATTTAATGTCCCCTGAGAAGGTCTGATTAATGTCCAAAAAGCATCTGGCAATCCCTAACTAACTCAAGTTTGGGGATGGGCAAAGGCAAGCCCTAGTTATTTTGTCTTCTCATGCATTATATGGGATGGACCCAAGAGGACTGCTCCCATGACTCAGAAGATGCCCTTTGCCAGGAGCATCTTTTGCTCCCATACAGTATTACTAAAGACCATTCCCAAGGCACTTGCTTGAAAGAGTGAATTCTCACCTCTGATGTCTCACCTGGCTGCATCGTATCTTTGGGTCTTCTAGAGTTATCCAACCACTGCTTATGCTAATGTCACATCAACAATGGCGGGATGATGCTATGAAAATGTTATATGTCACTACCTGGGGGGGGGGAAATGATCTATTTTTGAGCCAAGATGTGGCTTCTTCTATTTGGCAACCAAAAAGTGCAGCCTAGTGGTCCAAGAAGGCTTTAGGGAGGGGCCATGCATAAATGCTAAAGGAGCTGCTTTGCCCACAGAAGACATGCATCTTTAGCTAAGGCAGAAGCCCCAGAACCACTCAGCATGTGGCAGTCTTCCTGTGACCAATTCAGCACAGTTTTATTACAGAAAAGTTGCCATTTTTTCCTATTTCACTTGTATTTACATTGCTTTTACAAGCCTGACCTCTTTTAGCTTCATTTCACAACAATCCCTGTCAGACAGATTTGTATTACTGAAGCTGAGGTTAAAAAGTCTTTTCCCCAACAGCCTCTCCATGGCATCACGCCCTAGATCAGGGCATTTCGAACTTTCAACATTTCCCAGAACCCCTGACCTAGAGGCAAAGCACCAGAAAGTAGAAAATTAGCTATGTTCCAGTCAGTTTCCCTTTCTTAATCTTTCATGCACAGAGATTAGGGGATCTTAGATTAAGGTGACATTCAGCATGGCTTTGTGAAACAACGATTTTCTGAGAGCCCACTAGCTATTACTTGACATGCTGGGAAAACCAGGTTATCCTTTTAAGTCATAACACATGGTATCCATTTGTTTGGCACAGAATATTATGTGAGCAGAGCAATGGTGTTGGATTAATTTCAGTTTAGGATTTAGGGAACTGTGTGTGATTCCAGTTCTTGATTGTAGACTAGGCAGCAGTTCATTTCTTCCAGAACCTCTTCTTTTTACTCATTGCACACTGCACATACTTAGACAGACATAGAAATCTGTCTTAAGCATCAGAACTTGGGTTTTAAACTAGCTGCTTTGCCGTGGAATAGCAAAAGTTCTTGAGCCATTCCTATGGCATATTTCCAGGCTGGAAACATCCAGAAGATGGGGGCAATGAAGCTGTCTGTTTATTATACTGTACTGCATTGCATTGCATTTATCCTATTTATATAGCCACCCATCTGTCTGAGATACTCTGGATGGCAACACAAATAAATAATTACATTAAAACTAAAACCACACTGAAGTTCAACACAAGCCATTAGACACATGCAGCCATGCTGCAGCTTTCCAATTAAAGTCCCCGATGCCTCCAATGTCTTGGGAAAGAGGCAGGACTTCACAACCTTGCAAAAGGCCAATAGAATTAGGACTGTTCATATTAGGAAAAATCTTTCTCATTCAGCCTTGAAGCTTTCTTGCTGGACCAGTCAGGTACCTCTTAGGCCAGTGGTGGTGATCCTATGGCACAAGTGCCAGAGGTGGCACTCGGAGCCCTCTCTGTAGGCACACATGCCATTGCCACAGCCCCACCTCCCCCCGCAGCCCCCTCCTCAGCAGCCCCCCAGGAGGAGAGTCACCCCCGGGTGTGGCCCGGGCAGAGCAGTGCAACCAAACACATGGCAGCTGGGCAGCAGATGATGCTGCAGGGTGCAGGCGGAGGGCATGGCCGCCATGGCACTGCAGGGCCACCTGGGCGATCTGCGGCAGGCCGTGGATGGCCCTGAGAGCGGGCAGGGTGAGGGTGGAGCAGGGCGGGGGGGCGGGCGGAGCGGGGGCAGGCTGGGGGCAAGGCGGTTTTGGGCACTCGGTCTCTAAAAAGTTTGCCATCACTGTCTTAGGCTAACCTACATCCCAGGATTTTGTCAAAAGAATGAAATAAAAAGGAGAACCGTGCAATTTTGAAGTCCTGTAGAAATAGTTGAATATAAAGATATGTATGTAAACATTTGTATAAATGACTGCTTCTTTTTATTATAACAAACCTACAAGCATCCATGTTAGCAGATTTGGTTTAAAAAATTACGTCACCATTAGGTAACATCTTTCTATCAATGAGGAAAAATTTCAAAAAATTTTCTCATCATTTAGTAACACTCGTAGCTACTCTTAATCAAGGCCTGGCCATATGGTAGTGGCATTTAGATTTTGATCCATTGCTTTTTTCCTAGGCTGACTCCAATGCATGCAATTCTCACTTATATATGAATCCATATTCTAAACATACTAATCTCTCCACAACATGAAGAAGTACACAACATGAAGAAGTACAGTTGTACACCTTCAAGCGTCTTACTTCTAAGTTTCCAAGTATTGCAAAGCATACAGAGAGGAGGGAATGTGGTGATGTGTATTTGCAGCCTTTTCCCATGGGTGTGTCGCACTGGTTTCTACCCTTCTTTGACCCAGCAGAAAACTATCAACATGACACTTGCTGTCCTATTTCCCATCTTTCTTTCCTCTCTTGTCTCCATCCCTAATCCTAACAGTGACCTGACATCCCTCCAAGGTAAAGAGAGACAAAAGTTAATTGACTTTGCACACCTTGAGTGCTCATTGGACGAGAGAAAATAACTTTAACGTCAATACAGCTAAGGATAACTGAAAATTACCTCATTCATAGACTTCGTTTGCAATGAACGAAAGAATCATCATGGAGGCAGGATAGAAAAAAAAGATGCCACCGGGAAGTGTTTGTTAAGTGCAAGTGTGGAAAGAGCTCAAAGGAGACTTCTCAAGAGGTTAGCAGCTAGGCCATCTCATTACGGATAAAAGCCCAGGAAGCACATACTATGGATCTCTTCAGGAAGCTGTCTTGAATCTAAACTTTTGCATAATTAGAATTGACAGCATAGCAGTCAAACTTGCAAATGACCAAATCACACCGATTAGTAAAACAGGGATGCATGGCAAAGGACTGTACAAGGGGCTTTCAGATTGGAGACTAAACAAGAAGGGTAAAGCAGGCCTGTTGGGGAAAACAAAACAACAACCGTCATCTCACTTTATACTTGGTGTCAGAGTGACATCACTCAAGGAGAGAATGAGAGAATGAGATGGAAGAGCTCAGGAGCAGGTTAACTATGACACGATCCAGCACATGGCTGCCTTAAAAAGGCGACATTCATTGTAGAATTTCACTAAAGAATCAGCTCAGGATCACCCCCTCCTCAATTTGCTGGAACCTGTTACAAAAACTGGCTTTGTGTATAGTTTGTGATCATATCTTCACAAAAGACTCAGAACTCTTCCTCAGAGCTGGGGAAAGCAACTTAAACAATCTGCAGGCAGTTGGAATCCTTCAGGAAGGAAAAGTTACAGCCTTTGACTCATTTAAAGTTTGAGGAGGAGGTGAGTGAGAGGAGACTGGCGGTAACAGCTAAAATTATGCCCGATGTGACAATTGTGGGGAAATTGGCAAGTAAGAAAGCCAGGCGGTTAAAGAAGACACTTCTATCTAGTTAAAATGAGGGCTCCTGAAAACTGCCTCCTTGCACAGCTCTGAAGGTATATTAAACAAAGGGCTAAACGATAAGATGACCAACAACGAGTAGTCATAAGAGCTATGAGCTATCTCTGATCCCCCAAATCAGGTGTATCCATATCCTTGACTTCTCCAGTCAGCAGGGGAGGGTGGAGAATAAGGTACCTGTTTGGGGGAAAGAGGGACAAAGGCTTAACTTGACTTCAGAGTAACATCTTAGGAACCACTCTTCAACACCAGTGGAGCAGAATAAAGACCTGGGCAGGCCCAGGACAAAAATCAAAAAAGGACTGGATATAATCAGCATAGAATGAAACTATTCAGTGCAATTGGTATAATTCCCATCCTTGTGTTTCATGCATCTGATGGGACAATTGGTGGCAATATTTAGAAGTGCTCTAGGAGCTGCCCGCAAAGCTTTGTGTGTGTGTGTGGGGGGGACTTCTGCGGCTTAGGCTCTGTGTCCCTGCACAGGCTGGCAGTCAATACGAAAGATGGCTTGGCTTGTGGCCCACAGTGAACCTTCAAACGACCTGCCTCTAAGATTTCCATGGGATCTCTTGAAGGCTGAATCATTTTGAGGGGGGGGAGAGGTTAGAGGCAGCAGAAATAAGTGCTGCCGAATTGTTGCATCTCCCCCATGAGCTTTAACAGCCTTTTCGCAAAGGGCAACTTGGAGAGTGATGGACTACCCGGGTCCTGCAGGCTGTAGAGTTATAGTTTTAAACATTTGGGTTGCTTGGCGAAAATCCGGGCAAATCCCAGGGGTCTCGGAGAAGGTGCATTCGCGCGCTTGTGCAGGCGCGCGCTTGTGTGGACATGCCTACACCTTTTTCCAATCAGAGAATCTTTGGGGCGACCAAAGGAAGTAAAAGTGGGGGAGAGGATGCAGCTGAAAGAGAGGCAGAGATTAGGGAGAGAGGAGAGGGGCGAGGGAGAGGTGGGAACTGGAAATGGCCAAAGGGAAAGAAAAAGAGCAGCATTCCTCTCTTCTCCCTCCCTCCCTCCTCCCTCTCTCGTCCTTAATGCATAGCGGGGGGAGGGTCTCTATCCTCCCTCCCCCCTCCCATTTGCACGCCAATCCTCTCCAAAGCCGGGTGCATTAAAGCGCGAGGATTTTCCGAGCGGATTTCCTTGCCCGTCCCTTCGCTGCCATCTCTTAATTCCCTCGGGCGCCCGCCGCACCGTCCTCCCCGGAGCGGGCGGAGATGCCGGGCGGAGAGACCCCCGTGTCCCAGGGGTGCCCAGGGGAGCCTTCGGAGGCAGCAGGCGTCTCCGGCATCAGGTAAGAGAGGGGAAGTGGGGTGGGGGCCGTTATTCCTGTCCAGGAGAGGAGAGTTGCCCCGAGCATCTGCAGAGGGCTTTCCCCGCCGACTTACTAAAGGGAACCCGAGCTCGCGGGAGGTTGCAACCGGCTTGCAACTCGGCTTCAAACCTGATCGGAAGGGCCCCCGTCTCGACGCGCCTGGAAGAGAAGAAGCGTTTTCTACTTGCAAGCTCAGGGGCATTCTCGGCTATTTTGCCTGCCAGGCTAAGTCTGAGGGGCGAAAGCAGAGCCCGCAAAAGTGGACGCGCCTGACTCTCCGCCCCCCCCCCCCGCCGCCCCCAGCCCAGCCTAGTCCTAGAATAAGGCTCAGCCCTAAGGAGCGCCGGCGGGCAAGCGGGTCTGTGGGGCGTTGTCGGGGGACCTGAAGAGGCGCTGATGGGATAGGAGGAAGGGAAGCAGCCAGGTTTGCCCCATGAGGACTAGCTTCACTCTGCCGACGCTCCTGGCCTGCTCTTTGCACACCCCGAGATGTAAGTGGGAGAAGAAATGCCATTGTCTGGCTTTCCCTGAGATTGGATCCAACCGTTTGGAGTGAACGCCGGCTCTCCACAGGGACGGCCAGATGCGACTCTCCCTCCCAATTGGGCTTTGTCTGCTGAACTAGTTGTATGGCCAAAGGGGATGTGAAGCAGACCTATTGCGGATTCCAAATGGACAAGTTGGTGCCGGGGAAGGAACATTAGCTTTTCCAAACATCTGGACAACGCTGGAGAAGCAGAGAGAGCCCATCAGCTAGAAAAGGGCTATCTGTTTAGAAAAAATAAATAAATCAAGAGGTGAGCTCCATTTGCATAGAAAGATGGTTATCTCTGTGCTGGTCACCCAGGAATGTTTGCATTAACTAAGTCTGAGGTCGTTTTGACCGAGGTTAAATAATTAAATAGGTTAACAAGACCTCAGCTTGCGCTGTTTGATTTTTATAGTACAACAGTTAATAGAGTTTGCAAATGTTCCTTGAAATCTAACAGTGAAAGTGACCTTTCATAGGGATCCAAGCAGTTTTCAAAGTTTGACCTGTCTTTCAACCTCCTTCTGAGGATCTCTAGGTAACATCTCAAGGCTGAGAAATCTTAACAGGGATAGCAACTGGTGGGTGTTGGCGGGCACGTCAGGAATTATTATCAGAGTTCCATGGGGCAATCCTAAAACACCTACATACCAGAAAGGAAGTTAATATGCTTGCCCCCCACCATCTCCTCTAGCAGCATAGGATGCACTGTTCCACCCTAGTTTTGATTCTTTGGGAAGCAGATAAGGGGACACCTTTCTAAACAAGCCATTTGATTACAGCAGTGTTTCTCAACCTTGACAATTTTAAGGCATGAGGACTTCAACTCCCAGAATTCCACAGCCAGCAATGCTGGCTGTGGAATTCTGGGAGTTGAAGTCCACATGCCTTAAAATTGTCAAGGTTGAGAAACACTGGATTACAGTAACTTATTAGTTTTATTTTCTAGCAAAAGTTATATGAAGCCCAGTGGTATTCTGATGGGAGGAGGAGGAGGGGGGGAGGGGAGGGGAGGGGGAGGAGGAGGATACCAAGAGCCAAGAAAAAGCATACCTTGGACATACTGATGCCCACAGACATTATGTTGCTCAAACTTGAGAAAACAGGTGATATATTTTCTGTGTAGTTTTGATATTTTTACTTTCATTGCATTCATTGTCATCTGGATTCAACCTTATTCTACCAGCCAGACCTTTTACAACTGCAGTCACTTTCTAGTAATCAGCTCACAATTTTTCTTTTGTTCAACAATTATAAAGACTCAGGAATCCGAAGAGATTCTGCAAAGGAATCAACATTCAACATGACAGGGAAAAAAAAAAAACATATTGCCATTTCAACTTTGAATCAACAGACCAAATTCCAGGCCAGCAGACAGTCCAAATGGGAAGCACTAAGAGAGGAAGCATCGTAGGTGGTTCAGAGGCCTGCATGAAGCAGGTCCCAGTTCAGTTTCTGGCTTCTCCAGGTAATGTCCTTCCTCTAAAAAAAAAAACAACCTAAACTAGCCCTCCTGACTTGGTTCCATTCATATATGTTAGGATTCTAACTCCCAGGCCATGCAGGCTTCAGATTGTCTTGCAAAGCATTAGAGGTGTGCAAATTAATTGTTAGAACATTCCAGAAAAGTCTACATCATTCTTTATCTGCCAGCCATTGCTGGTAAAGCAGACAGGAAACATGGGAAGATGCACTAAATCTATTTTGTTGTATCTGGTCAGATACACTGGGTGCCACACACACACCCCAGTCTCAACTGTCAGTACCTATCATCCATCCTTCTCTCCCCCCATCACAACTGATGAAATTTCTTGGATGAGAAATGAAACGTTTTGTTCTTCTTAAGGAAAAAAACAGTCCACTTGCCTTTTAAAAAGCACTTTTGAGACTACTTTATTATAAGGTTACACTAACAAAATCTTGCAAGCCTGGAGGCACAAACTTCCCACTACCACTTTTAACCATCTGATTAATTAAGGCGGGTCCTTCTTAAGTTTCTTTCTCTCCTCCGTCTTGTTCGCTCATTCCCTAGGCAGCACCTCTTTCCTCCCTCCCTCAAAGTCAAAGTCATATATTTCATTACAGTATCCCTCTGAAACATACCATTCTGGGGGAGTGGTTTCCAGAAGTAAATCCTCTTAATTAGAAGCAGGTTGAGGTGTTCCTCACACAATGCTCTAAAGCAGGGGTAGTCAACCTTGGCTCTTTTATGACTCGTGGACTTCAACTCCCAGAATTCCTGAGCCAGCTAAGCTAAAAAAAGAGCCAAGGTTGACTACCCCTGATCTAAAGGAAACAAACCTATTTCAGAACTGACACACCCAGAACATTGTGAACCACTTCCAGTTTGAAGGATTTACCTTTGCAAACAGCTGAATCTCCCGAACAGCAAAATGCGGGAGGAAACTCAGCACGGTACAGAGGGCAATGGAATTCTGAAGTTTTCCAGAATGTTCCATTCCCAGGTCAATGAATTTGTGTGCATTGCTATACCTAGGACATGGTACTAGAAAACTTGCCAGCCACATTTTAGCTTTGCAAGTTGTATGGACTCAGTTCAGCTAATTAATATGGGATTCTATAGATCATACACACCAACAAAATTGAGTTAATCGAGTAAACTGAAGCTAAGTTAACTAGAAGTTATCATCTGTAATTTAACACAGCACCGTACTTGAGCAAAATGGTTCAGATAAGATTGGCGGATGTGGGACTGATTGGGGTAGATTGTAGGAGTGAATACCGAAAAATAATTTTACCTTATTTTACTTGTCTATAAATTAAATTATTGTATTTTACCCCAATTTCATTTTAAATTGTTTTTATAGGATTGTATTAATATTATATGTTTGGAACTCTGTATTTTGATATGGCCTATGGGCTAATCAATAAACTAAACTATCTAATCATTCTGTATAGCACTACTATTATCTCAACAAATCTGGTGGATGCTAGATTGGGAAAGGCTGGGGAAGACAGTTAGGACCGTGGTCTGACTCTGTACAAAGCAGTTTCTTATAAGCCAAAACAGAGCCAATAGATGAAAAATCAGTGTCCCTCCATATCTACCCTGCTTTCATAACCAGCTGTTTCTCCTCTTAATCCTCTCCTTGACATCTACCCTGCCCCTCCCAGCCTGCTTTCATCAGATATACTCCCTTCTGAACTGCCCAATGCACACAGCGGCCTTGACTTTAGCACCTTCACCAGCTATATTCCGTCTGCATGGCCAGAGTCACAGAGGAAAATATATTACTTTCACTGCATCAAACCCTCCGGGACTGTATTCTTGTCCCTCGTTCCTCTTTCTCCAATTCTTCTCCCCCCCCCCACTTTCTCTCTTTTTCACTCCTGCTCTTCATTTCCAACCATTTGAAGCCATTCCTTCTGACCCAAGCCTCCATCTCTTCTACTTTGACCAGTGCCTTCCATCTGCTCTATAACCCAGGATTTATATACTTTTCACTGAGCTGCCCCATGAAGAGTCTTTTTAACGGAGAACTTCCTGGGCAACAATATTGATGGCAATCTGCCATTCCCTTCTTCCAAAAGATCCTTCCAACTTCCCAAGCTAACCTACAACCTTGTGGTCTCCTTGTGGTCTCCGATCCATGGAATGATCTTGGTCTCGGCTCCATAGAATAATCTTGTTTAGCTTTTGGGGGATCAGTCAAAGTCAGTTGCTGCTACTTCCAGTATTGCTACGCATCTTCTGGAGGTATTTCCAATCACAAGAGCCCTCTTAAGATAAAAATATCCAGGCATTCTGGACAATTTGTATGTAAGCGATTGACTTGCCAACCAAATCACACGACAAGTAGCAAAATTCTGTCTGGCAGTCTGGCAGATACAGCCCTGTTGCATGGAGAAGCAGGAAGTGAAGAAAGGGAGCAATTGAGATTGTATATTAATGTACTTTACTTTGATTTTTTTTGTGATTTCACGGAACTTGTATAGCTTTTGTCTTATTTATCATTTGAAGCAAAGTAATCACTCTTTGATCCTGATCTGAGGTTGTAATCAAGTTGATTGACAGGAGACAGAGATAGCACTAGAAAAGCCCATGCTTGTTGCCTGCTTCAAACCTCGTGTATATTTTTTGTATATAAAATCCAATCTTCCTTTTAAAAAAAAGCAAAATTAAACGTCTAATTCTTAGCTAGCCTTAGAGATAAGATGTAGGCAGTTCCTGAGAATATAAGCCAGCACAAGACATCCTGTTGTTTGAGGCAAACACTCTCATAATCCCACCATCCTCACATTGGATGCTAAGGTCATAGCTGTCTGGACTCTGGTCCTATTTCCATTGCCTCCTTCCTAAACTATTGCAAAAAAGCTATGGAAGGAAGGGGGAAAAATCTTCTCCTTTAGCTTTGGATTCCCCTGATATCTCTGCGACATTCCTCCTTTGAGGGTGCTTGAATCCCTTTCTTTTTATTATGCTATCCCTTTGCGTTCTGAAAAAAAAAAAAAAAACCGGGCAGGAGGGCAATTACAGCAAACATCAGCAGGGGAAGCTCCAGACAGGCACTTAGAGGAGAGCCAGATGGAATCCCAGCATGTCCAGGATAAGCTCCAGACTTGTCCTCTACAGGCTCCAGCTATAGGATCAAGCCAGCTGGTTCACCGGAGAATGGTAGGGAGGGATAGTTGCCAGAAAGGAGACTGAACCATCAGAGAAACAGCCATAGAATGCATGACAACACAGAAGGGAAAAGTCAGCTATTGTGTGTACCCAAGTAGATAACCTAAAGACCGGGAACATTTTAAAACCACAGGCTTCCTCTAGCACAATCTTCCTCAATCTAATATTTTCCAAAGGTAGCAGAGCACCCTTCCTTTACCTCCAGCCAGAGGACCCATTGGTTGGATTGATTAGAAGTGATGGGAGGTCTAGGACAACCCGTCGGATGTCCAAGGACTGGGGAAGTTTGTTTGGGTAGAACTGCCTTCCTGGCAAATCATTCCTGTATATCTATTCCTCATCAGAAGTAACAATGATAATGGCAATAATGGATCTCCTGACTGGGAGCAAAAGCTGGCTGTTGACAGGCACAAGTTCAAAGGTGGTTTTGCAGCAGATGTTAATGTATTGTATTCAGTGTGTATGTGTATGAAAATGACAACACGGATGCACCAACTTTGACTTGGCAGTAGTTTAGCTTGTTCAATATTTGTGCTTACATGTGAAGAAGAAACGACATATCTGAAGCAGAGGTAGAAAAGCTTATTTGCTTAAGAAAGCTATATAGAAGGTGGAATTATATATATATAGAGAGAGGGAGATGTAGGTATTTAGCAGTATTTTTCCTACCTTATAATGTCTGAATTTTCATTATGCCCCCAAAGAAAGATTTTTGTAAAGGAGAACTGTTACAATTTGGGAAGGCCAAAGCTGAATGTAGTCATCCTAGAACAGTTTGGCTGGCTGTAATTAAAATCCAAGTTGGTTATTGTTAAAATCAAAGAGGAGTATGAATTAATAATGAAAACTTAAATAATAAGAGTGAAATCAGGTATGATATATATACAATGAAACCTTATACAGAGAATTAATAATATATATGATCAGGGCTTTTTTCTCATAGAATGCCCAGAACGGAGTTCCTGCACCTTTTTTGGATGGAACCTTGTAGGGTAGGCAAGGTGGGTTGTATGACGTGTCTCAGTTCCAGCACCTTTTTCTTTTACAAAAAAAAAAGCACTGTATATGATCCAGATCAAAATAGCTAGCAAAAACTGCACTGCTCTATTGTTTAAGAGAAATGTCTCCAGTTATAAAATGTAAACGTGTAGTGCAATGGCCATCTTTAACTGATTGTCAATAAAGGACTGGTTCCAAGGAAGGAAGGGAGGGAGGGGGAGGGAGGGGAGGAAGGAAGGAAGGAAGGAAGGAAGGAAGGAAGGAAGGAAGGAAGGAAGGAAGGAAGGAAGGAAGGAAGGAAGGAAGGAAGGAAGGAAGCTTTTGCCATAGTAGAAAAGCAGAATAGAAAATTTGAGTGTCCTCACTATGAAAACTATTTCTGTGCTCCTGAAGAAAGTGTTACGGAATGGAATGGAAAAAGAGAACAGAACAGAACAAAATAGAATAGGCCAAGTGTGATTAGACACACAAGGAATTTGTCTCCGGTGCAGAAGTATAATAATATTGTAGTATAATAACTGTAGTATAATAATACTACAACCATACGACATGGGAGAATATACTTAGACAAAAGACAGAACTGTGAAGATTAGGTGTTCAGCAGAGTGATGGCCTGGGGGGGGGGGGCAAACTGTGTTTGTGTCTAGTTGTTATGGCATACAATGCCCTATAACAGTGGTTCTCAACCTGTGGGTCGGGACCCCATTTGGGGTCGAATGACCATTTCACGGGGGTCACCAAACCATGCTGTCTGCCATTTTTTTTCCCTTTTCCCTAGCTGTCCTACTCCCTCTTATTGGTGGCCACACCCACTTGGGGGTCACCACAACATGGGGAACTGTATTATGGGGTCACGGCATTAGAAAGGTTGAGAATCACTGCCCTATAATAACATCCTGAGGATAGGAGTTGAAACAGATTGTGTCCAGGATGTGAGGGATCTGTGATTATTTTCTCAGCTCTTCTTCTGACTCGCATAATACACAGGTCTTCTATGGAAAGCAGCCTGGTAGCAATTGTTTTTTCTGCAGTCCTAACTATCCATTGGAGTCTGTACCTGTACTGTTTAGTTGCTGTACCAAACCAGACAGTTATAGAAATACAAATGACAGATTCATAATTCCTCTGTACAACTGTATCAACAGCTCCTGGGCCAGTCTGAACTTCTTAAGTTGACGCAGGAAAAACATTCTTTGCTGTGCCTTTTTAATGATGGCTCTAACGTTAGGTGTCCATTTCAAATCCTGGAAGATTATAGAACCCCAAAACTTAAAGGATTCTACTACTGATACCATGCTGTCAAATATAGTAAGAGATGGTTGATTAGGAGGGCTCCTCCTAAAATCCAGTCTCATCTCTACAGTTTTAAGCATGTTCAGCTCCAAAGTGTTCTGACTACACCACAGGACCAGTAGTTCAACCTCCTGTCTATATGTGTCTTGGAACATATGTTTGCAAGAACATACTGCAAGTGCATAAGCAATGCCCTGCTGGACTGAACCATTGGCCCATCTAGTTCAGCAATCTGTCCTCAGAGTAGCAACCAATGGAACAAGGAAGCCCATTCACCTCCCAGCAGATAACCGTCTCATGTCATAAAACTTAACCACTGTTGAACTGTGGTGGAACAGTGGTTAAATTGCAGTATTGCAGGCTATTTCTGCCAACTGCCAGCAGTTCAATTCTGACTGGCTCAAGGTTGGCTCAGCCTTCCATCCTTCTGAGGTTGATAAACTGAGGAGCCAGATTGTTGGGGGCAATAAGTTAACTCTGTAAATCCTTAGAGAGGGCTGTAAATCACTGTGAAGTGGTATGTAAGTCTAAGCGCTATTGCTATTGCTATCCCCAAGGCTTCCATTGACTAGCCCAACTTTTTTAAAAGTCAGCCAAACTGATAACTAGCACCACACTTTGTGGTTATGTTTTATTATTTTATAAAATGTAGTGTTTCAATACTGTTTTGAAGAGTTGCAGGATGTATAACTGGGAGCATAGCGTATGTATACAGATAGCCCTCAATTTACTACCATATTTGAGTGAAATTATAGTTCTAAGTCGTTGTGGCCCTGATTACACCTGTGAATATTTTTGAGGTTACAGATCAACATTAGTAATAATAAAAAAGATTGATACGATTAATGTGCCCCAGTTTTTACCTGAGGAAAAATGATCATTCCAGCCCATTCTTATTTTTCAGAGGTTGATGGCAGCGAAAATGATTGCAGCCTTTTTCAAATTGCTTTTGAAGGACTTGGGAGTCAAAACGTCAATATCGAAATTCTTCCCCCACCCCAATGTTTTGCATCCCTATTCTTTGCAAAATGTCCTTAAATAACTTTGCAATATCAAAAGTGTAAAGTTATTCCATCTGCAGCAGCAGATGGACGAATGGACTTGCAATAAAGACCAAGAGGGGGTTTTCTTTTGAGAGAGAGAGAGAAGTAGTACAAGAAATTATTTTGTAGTTCATCACTAAAACCATGCATGCATACCATCGCTCTCTCACACACACAGAACGCAATTAATCCTTCCATGCAGACTCCATAGAAATAAAATAAAAATAATTACGCAGTAATAGGTGGAAGGAGTTTCATGAGACATACATGCAATACGCGCAGTTGTAAAATATTCCTTGGACAGGGAATATGCTGCAACTGAGAGAAACACTGCATTTTCCAGTGAATGCTGGAATTTCTGAATGCTCCAGAAATAAAGAGTGACTGTGGAAAAATAACACTTTCCCAGAGAAATCTTGTGAACCTGGTGCCATGAACAGAATGTGATTTTATAGCACAAAAGCCCTGATGAGGCAAGACATTTTCTCCCCTCCTTGCGCCTCTACACTTCAGGCTTCTTTTGTTTCACTATTTAGCTCTGCTCCAAAAGAGCCTGACCTTGTTCAGAGGGACTTCACACAGAGAACGATGCATCCATTACTTTTGTTTTTTCTCTGAATTTTTCTTTGAAGTTTGCACTGAGCTGCATTCACCTGTTTCTTCTTATCTCCAATCTAAAACAATTTGAATAGTTTTGCTAGCAATTTCCCTTAGTCTGGATGTTTTTATGTGCAGTATTTTCATTACAAGGTGCATTTTGTGTAGAATATCCATCCATCCATCCATCCACCCATCCATTTGTTCATTTATCCTCTGAAATTCATGCATCTCTAAATGTTGAGCTATATTGGTGTATTATTTTAAGAATATGTTTTTAAATCAAACCACACTAATTTCTCCCATCCCTGCCATGTCATATAAGGATTGCTCTCTTGAAAGCTGATATCCTGTCGCTTCCTGAAAGTGGCTTAGTAAAAAATATTTATTTATATTTCATGTTTCTAAATCACCCATCTCCCTCATGAGATCTGCACCACCATGAAGTCACACAATCAGAAAGGGGGGGGAGCTTTATTTTCTCTGCTTGTCATTCACTCACACATATTCCTGCATGATTAGCCCAAGTATCTCCTCCCCACTCTCCTTCATTGCTTCAGTGTCCTCACTTCCAGAAAATGAGTCACCATTCAGATATCACAGCCTTCCCCAACTCAAAGTCCCCCAGCTGCATTGACATGTCTAGCCCAGCAACTATCTGGAAGGTACTCAACTATCTGGAAGGTACTAGACCATCTCTCTCTCTCTCCCTCCCTCCCTCCCTCCCTCTCTCTCTCTCTCTCTCTCTCTCTCCCTCCATCCCTCTCCCTCCCTCCCTTAAAATCCCCAACCATTCTTATTCCCTGGTGTCCATGTGGCTGCTTAGAAGAATGTAAAAGGAGAAGGCAAAAATTCATAGCTCATTTGACAGGTTGCTTTTCAACACAGTTTCTTTCATGATGGTTGATATATTAACCCAACATTATGCATATCATGAGATTGTAGAGATTTTAGACAAAGAAAGGAACCTGACCTGGTTGTGACATGGAAACTCGTCTTGAGCAACTGCGGCTTATTAGTCACCAAAACATGGTCACCCCCCCCTCAAAAGGTTAAAAAAAACTATCCCTAACAAACCAAAGTTAGAGATATTAAGAGCTGAGGGCAGAAGCTGCAGAAGGATTTTGGGGTCTAGAAGGAAAGCAAGTTTTAGATTTATTGTGACTGTTTCACTCTTAGGGGAAAATGCTTTGGGATTTTTCACTGCCTCCAAAGCCAGGAGAACCTGATCAGCAGCTCCATTGTCAGTAGTCAGAAGTCCTGAACTGGATCCTACAGCTCCCCTCACAATTCATGTGCTCCCCTTAGGGAAGCGTATCATACAGAGAGAACTCCAGCCCAAGGGAATTACTATTTTTTCCCAGTTCAGGAAATTTAGTTAAACCTAATGATATTGGCCAACAGTTTTGTTAGAACAAAAGACAGAGAACCGATTTTTGGCCAAGGAATTGTAGACGTCCAGGGGTTACAGTTGAGCAAGGGAAGGATTGTACCATGATCAGAGTCTCTTTGAACATCTTGCTTGCAAGATGGCCTAAGAGATTAGGGCAAAAATGTTCAGAGGAGATAAAGGAAATACTGCTCTGTGCAGTCAGCCATTAAATGATGGAAGTTGTTGCCTCTGGATGTAGCAAGGCAATTATTGTGGGTTGTTTTAAGGAACCTGAGGAGAGCAACTCTCATTCTTAGCCCTAAAACTAGGAAAATAAACCTCTATTGACAGGGATAGTAAATTTATTACCTTTCTAGGTGCATTGAGACAAACAACAGGTGAATGTGATGCATCTCTGAATTGTGCTGGATTATTTGAGCGGCAGTTTTTGAAGAAAGCGTTATTCACATGTGGATTTTGATTTATTTATATATTATTTTGGCTTGTATGAAACTACTGTACATTTCCAAAAAGTAGTGGAGTAGAGCGTAAGTGCCTCTAAAGGAAGAACTTTTGTATATCCTCATTTTAAACAAAAAACCTTTCCTGGACATGCATCTGCCAATGATTTTTAAATGAAATATCCTGGGGATGGGGGAAAGTACTGTTTAACTTTTAATCTGCTCAGAATGGCAAATCTTAGTGGGTGCTGAAATGAGATTTGAACCCAACTCCATTCTATGTTTGCCTTCTTCTGTTGTAGGTTGTAGCCATCCCAAGTACTCAAAAAGACAGGAAGCCATCATGGAGTCTACTAACTTCCCATTGTTTTGGTTCTGGTCACTGTGGGCCTTAGGATCTGGCCCAGGTTGGGTACGTAGCCAAGCAGCCACCCAGCCACATTCAATCAAGATAGAAGGAGACATCACTCTTGGAGGGCTGTTCCCTGTGCATTCCCGTGGCCCAGCCGGAGTACCTTGTGGGGAGGTGAAGAAAGAAAAGGGGATCCATCGGATGGAGGCCATGCTTTACGCTCTGGATCAGATCAACAGTGACCCTGATCTGCTTCCCAACATAACTTTGGGAGCCCGGATCCTGGATACCTGCTCTCGTGACACCTATGCCTTGGAACAATCATTGACTTTTGTCCAGGCACTGATTCAGAAGGACACTTCCGATGTGCGGTGCTCCAATGGGGAGCCACCCATCATTGCCAAACCAGAGCGTGTGGTGGCTGTCATTGGGGCCTCTGCCAGCTCTGTCTCTATTATGGTGGCCAACGTCCTTCGCCTCTTTGCTGTAAGTAGAAGGCAGGCCTTTCACACGACATCATTTGGGGGAAAGGAGGTTGGTCAGCAAAGAGGTGATAGTAGCTACAGCTTCCTAGGTAACATCTGGATTCCTGTCTCAGGAGATGATATTTAAGATGGTGGCCGTCCTTAAAGGGTGCATTTGGAAAGTCGCTGCCTGTTTGGGAGGATACTGCAGGGCACTCAATTGTGGTTCTACAAAAAAAAAAAATGAAGTGTAAAATTTAAAGCACAGGAAAAAAAATATCTGTAGGAAAAATAAATATTTTCATCAATAAAGATGGAAAGAGTTGTATTCTGACCTATGGCCCAGAACAAGTTGGGTAAACTGGGCCTGGAGAGCAGAAAACACATGGAAGATATGATAGCATCATCAAGTACTAGAAAGGACCACAAAGAATAATAGTTCTCCATCATGCAAGCTTCCAGATGGGTTGGAAATTGTGATTTCCAAAATTCCCCAGGTAATATAACCACTGCTGAAAATTCTGGCTCTACACAAGACAGATTCCCCTGGGATTATAAGGGAGGGGAAAAAAACTCCCTAAGAATAGTTCAGCAGTAGAACCAGCTACCCAAAGACATGCTGGTTTCCCCTTCACTGGATGAGTTCAGACAGAAGCTAAATAGGCATCTATCTGGGATGTTTTAATCTGGATTCCTGCAGGAACCAAAGAGCTAAACTCAGTCGTCTCAAAGAGCCCTTCAAACTTAGAACAGCTACAATTTTATACTTAACCCGAAGTTTATTAAAAATGATTTTAATAGCAATTTCTAATTATTGCTAATAGTTAGCAATATTTGAGGCCAACTTTTTAAAAAATTATTGGGCCTCATCTGTCTTTTACTTCATTTACATTCTAATTTGGCATGGTGCATTTAACAAAGGGTTCTGTGCGTAAGAAATTCTTAGGAACCCAGCAATGGCGCAATCATTCATAGCATCCTAAACCATAATGTGGTTTCATTTAAGCCCCAATGTTTGCAGCAAGGAAGCTCTGCAGGGACATTACCAAAAACTGAATCTCCCTCCAAAATTGATGAAAAAGCAGGAAGAAAACTAGTCTGAGCGGACGACACAAAGGCTTCCAAAAGAGATAAAACCTTGAGGAAGCCTTCATGTCCAAGACTTTTTCCCCACTGGGGAGCATCACACTGTATCCATGGAGATCAGATCTCTACTGAAATTATGGAAGTGTCAGAGCTGCTCATTGTGGTTTGTGTGGTTTGTGTGTTTTACTCTACAAGCCAGCATGTTGCCAGAATAGAGCTACTGTTAAAACCCAGTTGGCTTTAGCACATGAGACAGGAGGAATGTCATCTTTTCTTGTGCTCATGAACACTTTTTAAATGCATCCTACTTCATGCGAAACAATGAAACCTTGAATTGGTACTGAGGCTGACTCTGATGTCCCCATCAAATGAAGTAAGGGAGTAGTTAACCAGAGAAAGGGACATTTAGCAATACATCCTGGAATTCTTTCTTTCTGGAAATATGTTGCATGCCATGCCTATTGAGCAGCAAAGATTTTTTAAAAATACTTTTAATATTTTAAAAATGATAGTATTTTTTTAATATTTCTGGACCTTTTAACATTTTGTGATTTCACTTTTGAATCCACTGCTGCTTATTTATTAAGATATTGTGAATATAGATAGATAGATAGATAGATAGATAGATAGATAGATAGATAGATAGATAGATAGATAGATAGATAGATCGATCAATCTTTGGTTATTCGGGTTTTCTCCCGCATAAAATTGGAAGTGTCTTGGCGACGTTTCGACGAAGTCTCATTCGTCATCTTCAGGCTGGTGCTTTCAGCTTCGAAGGAGCACAAAGCTGAAAGCACCAGCCTGAAGATGACGAATGAGACTTCGTTGAAACGTCGCCAAGACACTTCCAATTTTACGCGGGAGAAAACCCGAATAACCAAAGACCTACATACAAACACCCACGAAAACCTCAGAAAACAATATATATATGTATGTATGTATGTGTGTGTGTGTGTGTGTGTGTGTGTGTGTTGTGTGTTTTTCTTTTAATGCACATAGTTTTAAATGTTTTATCTAGTTTTGTTTTGTCTTTGTAATTTTTTGGGGGGGGGGAGTTTATATTTTAACTTTTTGAATAAAATAAAATGTAAGCGATAGAAGAAAAAGAAAGAAAAGGAAATAAGATATTGTGAAAATGGATCTAAGATATTTATTTGTACAGGGTAAATGTTGTCACACAGTTATGGCAATTATTGCTTTGTTCATGACTATTAATGGGAGCCATATAAATGCCATAAATCAGTCAACAAAGAAGCTTAAGCCTCACTCGGGTCATTACTCCCCATCTCTTAAGAGCATTTTTGCTTTGTAACAAAAAGCTACCATTTAGCCTTAATATTGTGTCAGTACTGGGAGGATTCGATAAAACACAATGGATTAAAATAAAAACAGGGAGGAGGACAAGATGTGAGCTTGGTGAGCCTTTGATGGTACAGTACAGAAATATTTTTACAAAAGAAATAGGTTCTGCAGAAGGACTAAAGGGATAAGGAAGGGCTGGAGAGGAAGGGTGGAGGCTAAGGATAATTCATCACTTTTAACCCGTGATTTTCTTCCACTTCTACAGATTCCCCAGATAAGCTATGCATCCACAGCACCAGAACTCAGTGACAATAACCGCTACGATTATTTCTCCCGTGTGGTGCCTCCTGACTCTTACCAAGCTCAAGCAATGGTAGACATTGTTAAAGCACTAGGCTGGAATTATGTCTCCACCTTGGCCTCTGAGGGCAACTATGGCGAGAGTGGGGTCGATGCCTTTGTGCAGATCTCCCGGGAAGCTGGTAAGAGGAGTTTGGGAAATGTCTGAAGCCAATGATGGGGGTCAGTAAAGCTGCTAATTTCCTGGAAAAACAGCCCATGAACAGACACATGAAAACTGCTTGAGGTTGTTCCATGTTCAGGGAAAGGGGATCTCTGCATGGCATCAGAGATTGGCTCGTATTTTTGCAGTGTGCAAATGCAATGAAAAAAAAAGTCCCACACCTGAGCCCTAGGCCAAGTCCACACTGAAACAAATGAGCTTTTGATTCTGGATTAGCTGTGCTCTGGATTGCTGCCAGTGGAGAAGGAGAGGGTATAGACAGACATGATGGAATGTGAGATCATGGTAGCTCAACAGGGCAAGTTACATGCAACATAAACCATTTCTTCCATATCTACTGTTCGATAGCTGGGTCACATTCATCACATTTTAATCTAAAGTAAAATAGAGTTGTGGGTTTGGGGTGCAGCATATCTTCTGCTTAGCCTCTAGGTCAGTGGTTCTCAACCTGTGGGTCGGGATCCCATTTGGGGTCGAATGACCATTTCACGGGGGTCGCCAAACAACCCAGTCCGCCATTTTTCTCCCTTTTCCTTAGCTGTGCTACTCCCTTTTATTCTATTGGCTTTTGAAAGCCAATAGAATAGATTCTCTTGAATAGAATCTAATTCTATTGGCTTTCAAAAGCCAATAGGAATTGTCCAGGCTGTCTCTGCCCTGCTGAGTCCGCCAAAAGTCCCATTCTGCAAACGGTGCTGCACCAGTTGAGTAGTCCTCGACTTATGACCAGTTGAGTAGTCCTCGACTTATGACTGGTTGGGGGTCACGGCATTAAAAAGGTTGAGAACCACTGCTCTAGGTCATTATGTGAACTCAAAAATATGGTCATTGGAGAGGTTATGAAAATATGGGCAATTGAGATTGGTTAACATGGGCTGAGCATTTGTATTGGTGTAAACCTGGTCACCCTGTGAGTTTTTGCTCTTTTTATCCCATGACTGATCCCTGACTGATATCAGTAGCAAACCACTTCTGTATTGTTACCAAAATACCTACAAGGACACATTAGTTATTGGGAATCAAGGTTAATTCAAGGAAGATGCTATTTTTATCTCTTACATACACAAGCCACTAATTTGTGAGATTCCTCCTTTCCCCAAATTATTTTTAGGAATAAACTATTGGTTTTCACACTTTCTGTTGGCAGCAAATATTTTGCAGATTTATTTGGCTTCCAGGATCCTTTCCCTCTCCCCACAGTGAGCATAATAGAAGATTTAAGGGTAAAATCTAACACAGTGGTATCTTGGTACTGAACTGCTTTGAAACTCATCAGATTTGGTACTCAATGCATTTTGACGTGACACTTTTGTCCTGGTACTCATTGTTTGTTTGATACTCAATGCACAAGTTAGAACTTGTCAGTGTCGGCTGCCTTGTGACTCACTTCATTATTCCCTATGGGGAAAAAATTGATACTCATTGTTTTGCTATTCATTGTGTCTCCCAGAAACAATGAGTACCACTGTATAGCCTTCAGGTGTTAGGTCTATAATTCCCAAATTCCTAACCAGCAAGGCTGTGCTGCATGAGAACTCAGGAAATAGTAGTACAGTATTCATTCATGGATAGCTTTCTCTTTGGAAGTACATGCACTCTGAAATTCATGAGGTATGTACTCAGACATCTTTCAACTGCCTATTGAAGATGTATCTTTTCATTCCCTGTATGAATGTTGTTCAAAAGATGAGGGGTGTTGAAAAATTCAAGTTGGCTGTTGCAACCAGGTGATCAAACATTCCATTTTAAATTGCTTTGAGATTTGCAGTAATATGAAGTGGCATATTAATAACAGGGCATCCCTGTGTATCATACAGGGAATGCCTGGGTGAAAAAATGGTCTTCAATAGGAGCTGAAAGATGTATGAGTACATACCTCATGAATTTCAGAGAGCAGGTGCTACAAAGGGAAATGAATGCATGATGTAAGATGACATGCAGTGGTCCAGGCACAGACAGTAGATGTTCTATCTGTATTAGTTTGCATTGTTTAGGTTGGGGAGTTGTTTAGGTTGGAGAAAGGGCTCAGTTTTTATCTGGGTACCTGTCTCCGTAGCTTAAATAGACTTTAGAAAGGAAGGTCATAAAGTAGACCATATTTTCCTTCTTGACAAACTGGAAAAATATGGGCTGGGTGATCCACTACCAGATGGATTCAAGGTTGAACAACCATCACCAACATGTGATCCTCAATGGGTTTATGCCCACAGAGAGTATGCAATGGGATACCTCAGGGTTCTGTCCTGGGCCCACTAAGTCTTCATAAACGGCTTAGATTAGGGAGTAGAAGGCATGTTTATAAAATCTGTGGATGACACAAAGCTTGGGGGAGGGGGGAATTGCTCTGAAGACAGGCTCAAAATCTTGATAAACTTGAACAAGATCCAAAACCAGATCCAAATGTTGTTCAGCAATGAGTAATTGACCAGATACAAAAGTCAATGCAGTTTTGGGCTGCATGAATAGAGATCTAGGCTCAAAATCACACAAAGTGATAGCACCCCTCTATACTGCACTGGTCAGACCACACCTGGAATTCTGTGTCCAGTTCTGATCAGCACAAAACAAAAAGAATAGTGAGAAACTGGAAAGAGTGCAGAGAACAGCAACAAAGAAGATAAGTGGCTTGGAAGCTAAACTCTATGAAGAGTGGTTAAAGGAACTTGGTATGCTTAGCATAAAGAAGAGAAGGCCAAGAGGAGACATGATAGCAGTCTCCCAATATATGAAGGGCTGTCACAGGGAATGAAGAATAGATTTAGTCTCTCTAGTGCTTAAGAATAAGACAGGAATCAATGGGTAGAGCTTTATAGTAAGCAATCAAAACTTGAACCAAGGAAGAATTTTCTGACTATGAGAGCTTAGCAATGGAACAGCCTGCCTCCTAGAGCTGTTGGTGCTCCCTCACTGAAAGTTTCCAAGAAAAGATAGGACAGCCATTTGCCCAAAATGGTATCATATTCCTTTGCCCAGTCTGCTGCAGGTTATCTTTCAGTGATGACAGGTTGGAGAGAGTATTAATCCTCCTCCAGTAAACACTTTACTCACTTTAAATCCCTCCCTCTCCAAGAATCCTCATTTTATCTCTGAATAAAGAAAAGCACAGGGGATATGTCAGACCCCATTTGGAATACTGTGTCCAGTTCTGAAGACCTCACTTAAAAACAGATATTGATAAGACTGAGCAAATCCAGAGAGGGGCAATAAAAATGGTGCACTGGAGAAATGGAATATGAACAGCCTGGAAGACAGAAGGGGAGTGGAGGACCTGATTGAAACCTTTAAATATATTAAGGGTGTGAATAAGGATCTAGAAGGCAGTATTTTCAATATTAAGCAAAAATCAAGAATACGGGCTGGGGGAGGGGGCATAACCATAAACTGATAGTTAGTTCAAAAGTAATGCTACGAAGTATTACTTCACAGAAGAAGTAGTGGAAGCTTGGAACCAGCTTCCAGCAGAGGTATTAGGTCAATCAACGATTACTGAGTTTAAATGTGCTGGGGATAAACTCATGTCCAAATAAAAAATAAAAAATTAATTAAAAAGAAAACAAAACCCACAAGAAAATAACCTCAAAGGTCAGGCTCAATGGACCACTAGGTCTTCTTCTGTGGTGAGTTTTCTCCATGTCTATATATGGTGCATCTAACCTAGTTTGGAGCACAGGAAATTCTGAAAAGCCTCTAGTGAATGTGAAGCTTTCTTGAACCCATTTTAGCAACCAGCATAGCTTTGGGCTGTGCCCAGGAATATGAAACATCAGCAAAGAATCAGGACAGAACAACTGAGAGATAGTTCAAAATAATAATCTTTGGGACTGAAGAACAGAATAGGAACGTAGGAAGGAGTCTTATTCCAGATCAGATTACTTGCCAATGTAGACCAAGGTAACATAAAGCAACCATCAGCTTTCAGGATCTCAGGCACAATGGAGCTCACCATGATCTGCAACCAATTTCTTTTTAAATAGGAGATGTTGCACCTTCTGTGTATAAGGCAAATACCCTCTAAACCAAGTTTTCCCAATCATTTCCTAAAACTTTTTCCTACCTGGCAGGTGGAGTTTGCATTGCCCAGTCCATCAAGATCCCACGGGAACCCAGGCCAGGAGAGTTTAACAAAATGATCAAGAGACTGATGGAGACTCCCAATGCCCGTGGCATCATCATTTTTGCCAATGAGGACGACATCAAGTAAATGCTCCATCTGCTTTTTTTCTTTTGTACATTTGTGTTCTGGCTTCCTTCCAAGAGTTGCGAACATGTTTCCTCTTCTGTTTCATCCTGACAACAGCCAGAATGGTGGGTTAATCTGATCCAAAATTATCAAGGGAACAGGATGGCTAAATCTGAGATTATTTTCATCTTAGTATGATATGCAAATAATAATTCAGGGAATGGTTAAATTAAATTAAATTAAATTAAATTGAAAAGATGGTTTGTTCTTAGCCTGACTAGTTCAACTGATATGCAAATATGTAGTCTGTTTATGGTTCCTAGTTAGGCCTGATTAGATCTTGTGGTCCATCCAAATCTCTTATCAATCCAGAGAGGTACACAACAAGAGTAGCTAAAAAGGAATAAAATCGAACCAAGAATTAACTAAACTATGATTAATTCATTCATGAGTTTTAGACTAGATCAAAAAACTTGATCAAAACACATCATGCAAAAAGTAGGCAATTTCAAATCCACAGTTGGCCTGCCAGCTCCTATTTTTTAGCTCCCAGATCACAGCAGATCATCCTGCTGAAATCTGTCAACAAAATCACTCATTTGCAACTACATAATTTTCAGCAAGTTTTCGTAAAATATTAACTCTGTCTTTAACTGATGCTAGATTTAATATACTCCCACAACCCTCAACACACTACCATTTCCCAGAGTCTTTCCACCATTAGATATGTCTCTTGCTTCCCCCCATAAATATGTAAATAAATTGCTGCTCACCTCCCAAGCTGGAAAAAAGGTGTCTATTCCTGACTCAGCGCAGCATGTAATAGTATATAGTCCTAGCCTAGCATTAACTGCATGATGACTTATAGCCTAAGTTCTGAATTCACTAGTTACACTTTCCCTGTGGCTGAGTTGCAGCAGTCTCCATTCAGTCTTGAGTTTGCAGAAGACTATTTCAGTATGAAAGTTCTTCTCCCCACTGAAGACCCCTATCTTGCCTTTAGTAATTTGGTTCCTAGTCCCTTGACTTGCCTAGGTAATGTTAGACAGAGCCTAACAGATTATACAGATCTTGAGGTTTTCCTGGCATCAGTTGGAATAAGGAGCAAAACACCGATATGGCCAAAGTAAACTCAAGTTTATCTCATGCAAGAGCTGGGGATAAGATGTCCATGCAACACAATATCATAGGGACACAGCAAAAAAAAAAAAAAAAAGGTGACTGACAGAGCATGTTTTATCTTGCTTAGGGATTAGTCATGAATGTCTCTCATTTTTCCATTGCACCCCTGCAGACGAGTGCTGGAAGCTGCCCGCTTTGCCAATCTGACAGGGCAGTTCCTCTGGGTAGGTTCCGACAGCTGGGGCTCCAAGATCTCCCCCATTCTGATGCAAGAAGAAGTGGCTGAAGGAGCAGTGACCATCTTACCCAAAAGAGCCTCGGTTGAAGGTAACAAAGGCTTAGACAGAGCAGAGGAGAGCAGCAGCGTGCAGTATGGGAGAGTGGAGAGAAACACGAACTGGCTGAAGTCACATGACACAGCTGGCCCACTCTGCCATGACTCCAAGATCCACTCTCTTTCCTGAGACCTGGTAGAAAATGACCAGCATTGCCCTGGGCAAACTGGTGGCAGATATCCCTCAGAATGAATGTCACTTCTGCATTTGTTATTCTTCCTGAAAAGACAGGGTGGGTTTTTTTCCTACCTATCTCTATCCCTTTTCTGCCTGTTTCATTACTCCACATTACTGATTAGATAGTAAAATAATGGGTGAGAGGGGACTCATATTAATACCCATTTTACAGGGTCACCTACATTGACCACCAGAGGAAAGTTTAACAAGAGCTGGGGATCAGAACCATAAAAATCACAGTCACCAACAGAGGGCAGAAAAGTAACTCTTGCAGCTGATGGCCAGTTAGAATTAGAGATCCTTAATCTCAGACTACATGGACAGACTCAACCACAGTTTCAACTGGGAAATTGTAAGCATCTTAGACCAAGCTAAATCTAAAACCACTAGGAATTTCTGAAAGTTTGGCATTCAGGCAAATCAGCCATCAGCAGACACATAGAAATAAGCCACATTTATACACCATTGAAAAAGGACAATAAAAAGGCTAAGAAGGAAACAAAAAGACCAGAATGCATCCTCTCCAGCAGCTTACACCCAGATAAGTAGGGATGAACACCAAACAATTAAGTAGAAAACAATATCATAATTAAGGGTAACTATCAAGGAGAAAACCACACCAGCAATGCTGGCAGGGCAAGCTGCTGTAATTAAACAGGGAGCAAACTCCGTACTCACTAGCACTGAAGAAGTTAGTCAAGTAATGAAACATCCACAAGCAAACAGCCAAGCTCAGAGAACACAGAGGATTCCATGATTAGAGCTTCGCTATCCAATATGGTGGCCTTAACTTAGTAGCATATGTGGACAAGCCTTCCCAACAGCTTGCAACCCAGATGTGACAGTCCTAGTTTAAACCAATAGTTATCTTCTTTCCTATGTTTGCATGACATGGCTATGCATGGGAGTTTAATTTCAAAGTGCCATGCTTGGTTTGGGTAAAACTAACCCTCTATAACTTACAGCTGGCACAGTTTAACAATGACACATATGTCCCAGTTGCATATGTGTCAAGCAAACAAAGTAGATGTTTGGAAAATGCAACCTTAAATAATTATTTTCCCTGTTCCTTCATTTCCTATTGAGCATAGCTGCATATTAATTCATTTCAAAAAGACATTTCATTCTTAAGCTCTGCTCTCTAAGAGCCTGTGAGGGTTTTAAAACGCATTATTGGCAACTAATCCATTTTAGAGTGATAGAGAAGCCATGATTTAATAGACTTAAAGCAACTCTTCAGAGCTGGGAAGACCAATGAGTGGGAAGACAGATGTCTTCCTTCCTGTTCTGCCCCAGACAGATACTTGTGCTTAGATATTTCAATCTGCTAATGACTGAGACCGAAAGACTTTGTTAATGTCTCTAAAATAAAAGGATACATTATGGTGACAAAATGTAACAGAGAATAGGATTCTCTCAAGGGAACGAATTCTGTAAGATAAAGTTTGACTGGCAGGAATGAGTAATGTTCCATTCTCCTGAAGTTTCTGCTTGATAGATAAAAATCACCATCTCTACATCCAAGTACTTGATGACTGGATGCTGACATACATTCACACACATCTGGCATGAGAAATAGCCACACAACATACTCCTTTGCTCTTAAAAGTGATCCACCCTGAAAAGCCAAGAAGGAAAACTTTTTTTCATATGGAAATAACACTGCAATTGAGAGATGAAGCAGCTGATCATGATTCAACTTCAGTAACTACCTTAAAAAAAACATTGACAGTTCTTTGAAAAAAAAATGACTGCGCAGCTATGATCCTCCTCCTTGTTCTTTTTCCAGGTTTTGACCAATACTTCACCACCCGCTCCTTGGAGAACAATCGGCGCAACATCTGGTTTGCTGAATACTGGGAGCAAGACTTCAGATGTAAACTGACCCGCCCAGGGTTCCAATATGATGAAGGCAGCCGCAAATGTACTGGTAGGGCTATTCCTGATGTGCGGAGCGAGGGAGGGAGGGAGGAGTAAAGCAAGGGGAGTTAATGCACAGAATAATTGCTCCAATGAATAATTCCCCAATTACACCCTAATCCCTGGTTTTGAGGTGATTGTGGTAGAAAACATCACAGAGCTTCAAGGCCTAGGCTGTTGTTCAACTCCACAGGAAACAGAGGAGATTAGACTTCAAGTGTCCCCCCTCTCCTTATGACAGAAAGAAAGCAAGGAGTCCCTGCCTCCTCTCCAGGTGCTGTTTTTTCCTGGAAAAATGTCCAACTCAGCCTCCTTTTCTATGCTGTTTTTAGTTGTTTTAGTGACTCCTTCAGTAGTCAGAATCCATTTGTTCCCCTTGATTTCTCAAGCCCATCTCCAAAGTTCCCCAGTATTTCCCACATCCACTTCTCTTCCACTGAACTGCTGGCAATTGAAGGTGCATGGTAAAGGTGCATGGCGCCTTGCCCAAAAAAAATTAACAAAAGTTGACCAAGAAAATTAGGTTCAGCCTCCCTCTCTCAACAACTGAGAAATTATCAGTCGCTACACAAATTGTTCAAGAAAGCAGACAGGCAAGATTAAAACACTGCAACTGCTTTGGAAAGAAATCCATCAAAAGTCAGGAGCTGGCAAAAAAGGAAGGAAGAAAAAAAAGAAAGGAAGGAAGGAAGGAAGGAAGGAAGGAAGGAAAGAAAAAGAAAGAAAGAAAGAAAGAAAGAAAGAAAGAAAGAAAGAAAGAAAGAAAGAAAGAAAGAAAGAAAGAAAGAAAGAAAGAAAGAAAGAAAGACCTGCCAATCTGGCTTAGCATCAGTGTCCTAAAGAGTGGGATGTGGAGAAGGAGGTTTTCAGGGTTTCATAGACAGCCTCGTGAATGGCTATTATTCTTTACATGAACTAAGGATATGTCTGTTTACAACGGTAAGCTTAGACATCCATAAGTACAACTTGCACATCACACATTGCCTTGATCGTGACATGTAACCCGACCTCCATTCCCATGTACACAGTTTGTACTGACAAAGGAAATCCTCTCCTTGACGTTGCCCTTGTCTCATCCCCATTTAGTGCGTAGGAGAGCTTTAAGTCCTGATTAGTTGTGCCTGTATGAAAGCAGATTTCCCCTCACTCTAAGACTCTCCAAATACATCCTCAAGGCATATAACGTTTGTCATCATTACTTGGATGCAATCCGAGGTTATGTTTTGGAAGGGTTGGAAGTGTTGAAACGCCTTCTCCTGCCAACACTAGCCAGCTTCCACCACAGCCATTTCTCCCCCATCTTTGCCTTCCAGATTTCCCCAAAGGGAGAGCAGAATTGCTCTATTTTAGGTGGGAAGAAGGAGAGGCATACATTTGCAAGGGATTTAACGTTCTGGGATGGTAAACGCACCACTTCAAATTACAGGTGCATTTGCTTACTTTTGGGGAAAAAGTTAAAATCTCTGCAAGTCACAAACCTAACCAAACAGCAAGTAGATTTGGAGGAATATGGAGATGGCCTGAAGAAGGTATTCAACAGCCATTATGCAAGCATCCAGCTCAGCCTAGGTCAGGGCTAGGCAACCTTGGCTGTTTTATGACTTGTGGACTTCAACTCCCAGAATTCCTGAGCCAGCCAGCCTAGATCAACAGGACTGGGGTGGTGAGTTAAAAAATCAGGATTGTCCTGCTTGGATTCTCGTTACTACAAGTAGTCCTTGACCTATGACCACAATTGAGCCCAACATTTCTGTTGTTAAGTAAGACAGTTGTTAAGCATGTTTTGCCCCATTTTACGACTTTGCTTGCCACAGTTGTTAAGCGAGTTACTGCAGTTGTTTAAGTTAGTAGCACAGTTGCTAAGTGAATCTGGCTTCCCCATTGACTTTTCTTCTCAGAAGGTCGCATAAGGTGATCTTGGGACATGACCTTGGGACACTGCCACCGTCATAAATATGAGTCAGTTGCCAAGCATCTGAATTTTGATCGTGTGACCATGGTGACCCTGCAATGGTCATAAGTGTGAAAATCAGTCATGTCACTTTTTTCAGTACCGTTGTAACTTTAAACGGTCACTAAAAGAATTGTTGTAAGTCGAGGACTATCTGTATAAAGAGGGGTGGAGAGAGAAAGAGAGAGAATCTCTGTCAAGCTTTGAAGATTGAGGTCAACCCTTTGAAATAGAACAGGACAGGAAAATGGACATCCCAAGAACTACTGCAACTCTGTTATTACAATATAAGATATGATAACAAAATAGTGAAAGCCTAACAGATTTTCTCTGTTCCCTTTTATACCAAAGACAATCAGGGCAGGGTAATCCTGATTTTTTTCCTCACCCCACTCGCATCTAACCAACTCAAACTGATGTTGACATAAGAATTGTTGAATCCCCTTTTAAGCCCATCTCCATACTCTTCTATAGTAGGCTGTGCTTTAGTGTTTTAGCCTTGTACTTTTCAATTTGTTTTTTTTCTCTTTAGTATGGATGGAAATTGATAGCGGCACCCTATAAGGATCCATCTAGCCTAATTTCTTATTCTGAGCTGGGTACACACATTCATTTGCTTGATATAAAGAATAGAAAACTTGACTATCATAATAAATTCTGTTCTACTTCAGAATGGAGGAATGCACAAAACGTTTTGCTTATAGTAAACTAAATAGCATCAAACCTTCCCCCCCCCCTTCTAAGTTACATTGTTAATACAGCCAAGAACAGGGGATGCAATATAATTTATGAAAGAAATTACAATGCTGCCCAAATATGAATCATTATTTGGGTAGCTATTTTTCTTGGAAAACAAAGTTGGTATGGCTCTGATGAGACAGGTAACCAAGTTATCACAAAATAGAAAAGAACATCTAAAAGGCCAGAGAAATTAAAAGAAGAATCTTGCATCTCAAGAAAAAAAAAAGCAGAGCAAGAGATAGCTGAGTCTTTCTGGGGAAGAAATAGCAATATCAATGCACTTACTTATATACCTCTTCACAGTGCTTTACAGCCCTCTCTAAGCGGTTTACAGAGTCAGCATATTGCCCCCAACAATCTGGGTTCTCATTTTACTGAACGAGGAAGGATATTATAATAATAATAATAGTAGTAAAGTTGGAAGGGACCTTGGAGGTCATCTAGTCCAACCCCCTGCTCGGGCAGGAAACCCTACACCATTTCGGACAAATGGCTGTCCAGTCTCTTCTTAAAAACTTCCAGTGTTGGAGCATTTACTGCTTCTGGAGGCAAGCTGTTCCACTGATTAATTGTTCTCACTGTCAGGAAGTTTCTCCTTAGTTCTAGGTTGCTTATCTCCTTGATTAGTTTCCACCCGTTGCTTCTTGTCCTGCCTTCAGGTGCTTTGGAAAATAGCTTAATTCCCTCTTCTTTATGGCAGCCCCTGAGATATTGGAATACTGCTATCATGTCCCCCCTTGTCCTTCTCTTCGTTAAACTAGACATACCCAATTCTAGCAACCATTCCTTATATGTTTTAGCCTCCAGTCCCCTAATCATCTTTGTTGCTCTTCTCTGTAATCTTTCTAGAGTCTCAACATCTTTTTTACATCGTGGTGACCAAAACTGGATGCAGTATTCCAAGTGTGGCCTTACCAAGGCATTGAAGAGTGGTATTAATACTTCGCATGATCTTGATTCTATCCCTCTGTTAATGCAGCCTAGCATTGTGTTGGCCTTTTTGGCAGCTGCCGCACACTGCTGGCTCATATTTAAGTGATTGTCTACTAGGACTCCGAGGTCCCTCTCACAGTTACTACTATTGAGCATGGTGCCACCTATGCTGTACTTGTGCATTTGGTTTTTCTTGCCTAAATGTAGAACCTTGCTTGGATGGAAGGCTGAGTCAACCTTGAGCCTGTCAGGATCGAACTGCTGTCAGTGGGCAGAGTTACCCTGCAATACTGCATTCTAACCGCTGCACCACCCAAGCTCAATTCTGTAAGCAAGGCACTAGAGTCAAAGAAAAAGCTTTCACAGCCAGAGAGTATTTTAATATCATGGGGTATTCAGAATTGCCAGTGGCTTTGACACACTTTCCCCACTTTTCTTCAGGAGATGAACGAATTGGCCGAGAATCAACTTATGAGCAGGAGGGGAAGGTGCAGTTTGTGATTGACGCTGTCTATGCCATGGCCCATGCCTTACACAACATGCATATGGAGCTCTGTTCAGGCCACATCGGGGTGTGTGACAAGATGGACCCCATTGAAGGGCGAACCTTGCTGCACTACATTCTGGGGGTCAACTTCAATGGTGAGATTGGCAGAGGATCAGCTTTTCAGCCAAGGTGCCGAGTTGTATCACTCTATGTCATGGATAGTATTCTACATTTGCACACATGGAGACCTGAGCAAAGGTTTAGAGCAGGGGTAGGCAACCCAAAACACTCAAAGAGCCACTTGGACCCGTTTCCCACCAAAAACAAAACACCGGGAGCCGCAAAACCCTTTTGATATCTAAAATGAAGATAACACTGCATATATCCTTTTTTACCTTTCTTATAGGTGTGTGTGTGTGTGTGCGCACGCGCGTGTGTGTGTATGTATGTATGTGTGTGTACACACACACACACACACACACACTAAAAAAAAAGTAAAAATATGACTCTTGGGAATATCCATACTATTAAAACAATGATCACCAAGAGAATGCTTTAAGAGAATAAAATTACATACACACACAGGTTAAAAAAAGGATATATGCAGTGTTATCTTCATTTTAGATGTCAAAAGGATCTCTCTCTCTCTCGTCTCTCTCCCTCCCTCCCTCTCTATCTGCCCTTGGTCTGCCACTCCTCTTCCCCCACTCTCTCTCTCTCTCCCTCCCTCCCTCCCTCCCTCCCTCCCTCCCTCTTTCTCTCTCTCTCTTTCTCCCCTCCCTCCTATCTGCTGCTCACCTGGCAAGCTTCAAGCTATTGTCCAACAAGATCAGGGGTAAGCAACCTCGTCTCTTTCATGACTCATGGACTTCAACTCCCAGAATTCCTGAGTCAGCCTACCTGGGCTAGCTAGCTCTCTCCTGCCCTTCCTGCTTCCTGCAGAGACGCAGCAAAGGGAGGAGCTCCGCCCAGAAAGCTTTTCAGCTCCTCGGAGAACACTGTGAGTACACTCTCTTTTACACATACACACACACAAAAACACAAACACACAGAGAGAGAGAGAGAGAGAGAGAGAGAGAGAGAGAGAGAGAGAAGTAGGGAAGCGCAATTCCTCTCTCTGTCTCTATCTCTCTCTGCAAAGGCAGAGGAGGCTGGGAGCCAGAGGGGAAGGCTCAAAGAGCCGCATGCGGCTCCGGAGCCGCAGGTTGCCGACCTGTGGTTTAGAGCAATGTAGGGCTGTGATCATGAATTGGCAGGCAAGTACAAATTTGCAGTATTCAGGGCAGGAAAGAGTGAGAAAGCTTTACCCAGATTCTGCAGCTTTAGATCACAAACCAAGGGAAGCTACATGTTGAGGTGCAAACCAACAGCTCCAGGTCAACATATTTGTTATGCCCATTTTGTAGGCATGTCATACTCAACATGTCCTATCCTTGCCAATAGATGACATGTCCATCTTCTAGAGAGATAGATAAGTGGAGAAAACTGATCTGGAGTTTTCTGTTTCCATCAATGCTTGCAGCAGGAAACAGTCTAAAAAAAGTTTCACAGGATTAGACCCTAAACCTCTTGTGTCTCACATCACAATAGCAAATCAAGTTTTCACAACAGCTAACCAAACCCCTCTGAGGCCCCCAAGTAGATGACCTACCACATTTGACCGTGGAGGCTGCCTACAACTTTTCTTCCCGCTAGTCTCTGTTGGCCAGTATCCCTTAGCATAATGTTGTCTTATCTCCTTTAGAGAATCTCCATCTTGAGGGATGTCAGTGTCTCCCTGTAATATTTTCCTTTCTGCAGGCAGTGCTGGGACACCGGTAATGTTCAATGAAAATGGAGATGCCCCTGGGCGCTATGATATTTTCCAGTATCAGCTGACAAATACTACAGCCCCAGGATACAAGGCTATTGGCCAGTGGGCAGAATACCTTCGATTGAATGTGAGTGATGCAGCATAGAATCAATCAATCGTCGTTGTCATCGTCTTTAAATCATGTTTATACCCTTTCTCCCCACCATAAAAATAAGGTGGAAAATATGATTCCTCTCAGCAGTAGATTTCCCAGCCTGATCTTCTGGGGCAGGTGGATCACCTCTGAGTATGTGGTTGAGTTTTTAGCTCTCTTTACTTTTCAGAAGTTCCTTCCTGCTCTGCAGTAATCAACACTGGGTACTTTGGAGTTTTGAAAAAATACAATCAACTGGGACTTCGCCTTGCTGAGATTTAATGAAGTCTGTTCCTGGCCACAACATCTCTTTCAGTTAAATGCCACCCAGCATTCCTAGAGTATACTGTCTTACCTTACCTTACGTATTTATCTATTTAACACATTTATATAGCTGCCCATTTCATTAACCAATAGTTAAAATAATATTGCAATTATTAAAACACTTTAAAAATAAATTAAAAACAAGACAAGTAAGATAAGAAAAGCAAGATTGCATGAGAACATCATCTAAATTGTTGCACAGGCTCCTCATGAGATCCCCACATTTTCAGAGCCTTACAAAAGGCTAATAGGAATGAAACTAATCTCATCTCAGGGGTGGATGAGGTAGGAGCCACAGCAAAAAAGGCACATGGTTTGGGTCCCATCAGATGAAGCTCTTTAGCCGATGGGACTTGTAACATGACCTTCGTGCTGGATCTGAATGGTGAATGGGACATCGTTGCATGTTATTTTAAGGTACCAAATTGAGAACTATCAAGAACAAATGACAAACTGCTATCCACTCTTGGATATATTCCTTCTAGTGCATTTCTATGATAGAGCATACCTGATTGGCTGCTTATGGATCTGACCCCTTGATAATTAATCAGCCAAAGAACTGCTATTAAAGTCTTTCAATATCGTAGTGCCACTGCACAGTGTGGGCTTTGTGGAAAGGTCTTGTATTCCAACAATTTTGGAACATAGCAACTGGATGATAGCAAATAAAAAAAAATGCCAAAGAAACAAAAACATATTTTATTTGTATTAAAGGAGCTCATTTCAATATGTTTTCCCTATTAGAAACTTCTCCAAAGATACATAAAAAATATCACCCAAATGTGATCCAAATTCAAAAGAAGTCCTTTCAGACTTTAATTATAGTGTACAATTCAACCTATACCTTCACTTCTCTGAATATATTCAGTTCCAGATCATAAAATTAGACCATTTTCATTATACTCTTTTACATCCTTTCCCTTGTCTTAGGTTTTCAAATGCACAACATATTGATTCTTCTTTCATTTTCATTTATTAATCCATGCTTTTCCCTTCTTAATCTTCTTGTATTCCAGCTGGCAATTTTCCATGTGATATGTATGTCACGAAATGTCCCTGTAAATATTCTCTCTGCTGCTGATCATGGCTTTAGTCATTCAATGTTTTCACATAACGCTGTTCAGTAAGATAGAGAAGTTTTAGATAGGTTGTCTACCCTCGTGATTCCAAAATGCCGTGCTCCTGCTGATGGTGAGGATGGTAACAGAACAGAACAGAACAGAATAGAATAGAATAGAATAGAATATCTTTACTGTCACTATGTATCTTACAACGAAATTAAGTGCTGTTCAGAGTGCACACTACACACTAGTAAAGTACTAGTGAGGTTTATTTTATATAATATTTTATTAGTTTTCCACATTTACAATTCATAAGTGCTTAGTAAACAATATGTTGTCTAGGTCCATTTGTTTTACTTAATAATGCACATCAAATTTCTAATCTCTACCCCATTTTTCCAGCCATTGATAAAATACATCCCATATTTGGAAATATTCTTCTTTTTTCTTTAATCCTCAGTGTAAATCTATCCATTTGTGCAAAGTCCAGTAGTAAAGTGCTAGTGAGTTTTGACCAGTTTGCCACTAGACAGTCAAACCCCAGTTTACACCAATCACGTTCATGATGTTTATCGAGACTGCCTTACAAGTCCATTGGGGCCACATCCCTTCAACTAAGAGGAACCTGCAAGGTATTGAAGCACCGATGTGATTCCCTGGGATAATTGGCAGTCACTGTTCTCTGGCTTTCTCTGATTCTCCCTCAGATCGAGGACATGCAGTGGTCAGGTGGACAGAAGGAGATCCCCTCGTCAGTATGCAGCCTCCCTTGTAACTCAGGAGAGAGGAAGAAGATGGTGAAAGGTGTTCCTTGCTGCTGGCACTGTGAGCTATGTGATGGCTACCAGTACCAACTGGATGAGTTCAACTGTGAAATGTGTCCCTTTGACATGCGGCCCAATCTCAATCGTACGGCCTGCCGCCCAACCCCCATTGTCAAGCTGGAGTGGAGCTCTCCTTGGGCCATTCTGCCCATCTTCTTGTCCATCCTGGGCATCCTTGGCACTGTCTTCATCGTTATCACCTTCATCCGTTTCAATGACACCCCCCTTGTCCGAGCTTCAGGCCGTGAGCTGAGCTATGTCCTGCTCACCGGGATTTTCCTCATCTACACCATCACTTTTTTGATGATTGCTGAACCAGGTGTCACCGTCTGTGCCTTCCGGCGCCTCTTCCTTGGCTTGGGCATGGCCATCAGCTATTCGGCATTGCTGACCAAAACCAATCGCATCTACCGCATCTTCGAACAAGGCAAGAAGTCTGTGACTCCACCCAAGTTCATCAGCCCCACCTCCCAACTGGTGATCACCTTCAGCCTCATGTCTGTGCAAGTGGTGGCTGTGGTCATCTGGCTGGGGGTGCAGCCACCCCATAGCATCATTGACTATGAAGAACAACGTACCCCCAACCCAGAATTTGCCCAGGGCGTCCTCAAATGTGACATGTCAGACCTGTCTATCATCTCCTGTCTCAGCTACAGTATTGTTTTGATGGTGACCTGCACCATCTATGCCATCAAGGCCCGTGGCGTGCCCGAGACCTTCAATGAGGCTAAACCCATTGGCTTCACCATGTACACAACGTGCATCATCTGGCTGGCCTTTGTGCCCATCTTCTTTGGCACAGCTCAGTCAGCGGAGAAGGTGGGAGCAATCAGGACAAGGAATGGGGTGGTACAAGGGACGATGCGGTTTAAGTACAAGTAGTCCTCGGCTTACAACCACTTGTTTAGCAACCATTTGCTCAACAAATTACAACAGCACTGAAAAAAGTGACTTATAACTTGTCCTCACCCCTACGACGTTGCAACATCGCCACAGTTACCTCGGTTTGAGACCAGAATTTCCTTTGCTGAGCAAGGCAGTTGTTACCTGAGTGCTCAATTGTATGCTCTTTTTGCCAATGTTGTTAAGTGAATCGTGTGGGCATTAAGTGAATCCAGCTTCCCCTATTGGCTTTGCTTGTTGGAAGTTGGCTGGGAAGGCCTCCCCAATGGCAATCACATAACCTCGGGATACTACAAACACATGCCACTTGCCAAGCACCTGAATTTGGATCACATGACTGTGGTGATACTGCAACACTTGTATGTGTGTGGACTGGTTGTAAGTCACTTTTTTCAGTTGCCATTGTAACTTGGAACGGTTGCTAAACAAATGATTGTTAAGTCGAGGGCTGCTGATTAAGTTATGATGTCACTGTAACAGGCAAAGCTGGCAAAGTCAGACCTGTCCAGTTTTTTTCATTCTGTCTATTTCGGGAATGTTAAGGGGCTGAATTAGGTGCTTTCAGGAGCTAATGGCACCTTTTTAAAATCATTAAACCCATTCCCCAAGTGGGAAAAAAATCATCCCAGTTTTGGGAGGCTGAGGTTCACAGGAATGCTGGTTGTGCCTTGAACTTTTGCAAGGCTTTGAAAAAAGCTATTTTGCTTCTTAGTTTTTTTCTCAGATCGTTAAAATAGGGTGCTGGGGATTGCAAAGACATTTTACACATTATGAAACAAGTCTGGGGGATTCCTCATCTGTTTTCTGTTTTAGTGGCATTTACCTGCTCACTTTCTTCTGGAAACTCAGGACAACAAAATAGACATTCTCTAATTTTTATCCTCTCAAGAATAGTTAAATAAGGTTGATTGGGCTGAAAAAAAAAAAGAACTGTCCCCAAATCGAAATCTTGTGGAAAATGAAAGGACTCTTACGAATTCCAGAGGGTTTTAGCAGAGAGATTTATTGCGCAGGTTCAGAAGCAATAGCAACAAGCAATTCTGAATACCGAGGGCGGGTTCAGGCTTCAGTTTTATACTTTCCTTTTCTCAGGAACAAAGGAATACACTTTGTAATACATTAGGTTCGTTTCTCACGGGTATACAATGGAGAGTTTGCTACATACATTGTATCCAAGTGTAATGCGCATTAGGTTAGTCACGTACTACTAATGCAGCACTGTTCCAGTAATTATGCAGACACATCATTATTCTAGTGATTGTTCATTATTCCACATTACCCCAATGAACCCTATGGTCAAGCAGGGATTTTTAACCTTACCCACCCACCCCCCTGTTGAGCCACCTGCAAAAGAGAAAGAGAGAGGGAGAGAGAAACAATTGGGACATTCCCATTTTGGGTCCTTCTCATAACAGACTTTATTGATAGACTTTTTTCATATCAAATATGCCATGAATTGCAGAAAGTTGGAAACCTTCACGCCTTTTCCTTCCTAGGCTCATTCTGTATCAGTAAAGAAGTCTTTTTAGGGGAGGAGCATCAACACTTTCAAGCATTTCCTACCTGATGTCTAAAATAGTGGCATGCAGCCTCTCGGCCCTCAGCTGGAACTTGCATTCATCAGCTTGACCCCTCAAAGGCTATTTTCATGATCTTTGAGGAAGGCCTGAAATAGGGATGGATGTGCCACTGAGCACATTCTGATGGTCCCATAAAAGTACATTGCCATGTCTCCCATTACTGGCATAGAGTTCCCTTGCTTTTGGCTCAGTGCACCTTTCAAAGCAACTTGGGCAAAGAAGGTGCTCCCATCTTATGTCCTCACAGCAGGCTGGTAGGTTTTTGTTTAGCTAGGGTAAAGAGTTGTCTTCAGAGGAATGTTCAACTGCATGGTGTTCTAGAAACTGAACTGTATGAATAAGCAAACAAGTATTACTCCTTAAAGCGGTCAGGACTACCAAGCTCTAGCAGGTGATCTCTGGTGTTTTTGTATTAAGGGCTACTGTGAAGTTGTAGGCATTCTAAAGCAATGTTTCGCAATCGGCTAGCTGGGGAATTCTGGGAGTTGAAGTCCATAAATCTTCAAGTGACAAAGGTTGGGGAACACTGCTCTAAAAGTTCTACCTCAGAAAAGTTATCCCAGTTCAGAATGAAGGCCCCAGGCATGCTCATTAATCTTGTCCCATTTCCTTCCAATAAAGATAAGTAGGCAGGAAGGTAAAAGACCATTTCAATCAAACACCCATCCCAGATAGAGTTTACTTCCCTCCACCCTCAAGATCTCAACCCTCATTGACCTTGGGATTCTAGATCTGGCAATGGCTTCTGTTTTGTTTGTTTGTTTGTTTATAATATATCCTGCCTTTCTTAGTTTTACAAATAAATCAAGGTAGTGAACGTATGAACACCTTCCTCCTCCCATGTTCCCCACAATAACAATCCTGTATGGTAGGTTGGGCTGAAAGAGAGTGACTGGCCCAAAGGCACCCAACTGGCTTTCATGCCTAGCTGAGCAGGCTGGGAATTCTTTATGTAACAGTCTGGTTTATATCTGCGGCAATTACATAGATATTGAGTAGTTTACAATATGGGAAGAGAGCCATGTTAGTTTCTGATAGCAAAAAGTCAGAATGACTGATGGTAGATGCTACTAGATTCCTCCTGGTTTTTCAATAGCTTACAGTGAACAAGAGCAAAACCAAAGGTATTCAATACTTATGCATCCACAACAGGACTATAATAAATCAAATTATGAAGGCATAAAATAAAATGAAATAAAACCATCCTATCACTTGCTGTAAAAGTCCAACATATCTAGAAAATTTCAAATGCAGGAAGCCTGGCATTAAAAGTAGAGTTCAGTTTTGAAAGAGCCATGAGCTGTATGCCTTTCTTGTTTTGTTTGTTTTGTTTTGTTTTTTGGAGTGATGTGATCTACATTGTTATTTATGAGATTTAGATCATATGATAGCATTGCATGACCTCCTAACTGAACATCAAAAAAAAAAAAAAAAAGATTAAAAGCATGATGGTATGAGAAAGTCATGCTCTGGCTCTATTGCAGGATCTGCATATTTAATATATTTGCATACTATATTAAATTTAGTTTTACCCACTTTTTTTTATAGTTGGTGCAAATCCTAATGATTTGGATAGTTTTATTGCTCAGTGTGTACCACAAACTTCAAAACTGGGTTAACACAATAATCAGGTGAAGTATTTTCTACAAATCCAGCTTATAATAGCCTAAAAATCATACTTCGCAAATCATTGTGAATGGTTCACCACATGAGTAAATTAAGGCCATGGTATAAGGGCTGAAAAATGTGGATGACTGCTAGATGACAAATGAATGGTTAGAGCTTATTAATAATGCTTCATGCTGCCATTTAATAGTCTTCTGTTATTCTTTCCAGCCAGATATTGGATCCCTGCAAATCCAAATGAAACATTATTGCTTAATAGAATGCATGATTCCAGGCATTGTGTCATAGGACATAAGACATCACTTATAAGACATTATCCAGAACAAGAAAGAAATACAGCAGCTCAATTTTCTCTTGTAGCATTTCTGTTATAAAAGAGAGTATTTTATTTTCTCTTTTAAATGTATTTGTTTATGCATCACATTAAACTGTAATGTGGTCTGGTCAATGTGGCTTAGTGTGTGGTGCAAATCCTGCCACTGTCTTTATAAATCATGGTTTTGCATGCTGTTTTAAATCCACATAGTACTACTTGAGTCATTGATTAAACAAATAATGGCTCATACTGGATGGGGTGCTTAATAAGGAGACTTAGACTCCAATCCATTCAACAAGAGGTTGAAGGACAAGTAGATGTTATCATAAGCATCCATCACATTACATTGCAAATCAGGAAGACATTGCACACGCACACGCTATGACATGAATTATGTCATTGCCATCAGTCAAAAAATCCTCAGCTAACACTCATTCCATAATTCATCTCATTCTGCATGCAACTGATTTAAATTATGTAATCATGCCTTTGCTCAATGGCACTCTTCCCAAATATCATGAATGTTACAATTGCTTATAACATACGATTCCTCGATGTGTTTGTCTCTGCATAAATGAACCCCTGGGGAGGAGGAATTTTGAACTGGATTGCTGTTTAGGGTTGAAGGAAAGGAAAGATTTTTGTTACCCTCTTGATCTGGTGCTTCGTCTGCTCACCCAGCTGCTTTTCTTTTTACAGCCATGCTAGTGCTACAGTTGTAAGTGGACAATTTTTAAAGGGAGAATGACCTTCCAGGAAAGAATTAAACCTCCCTTTCTTCTGGGCTGAAAATTACATGGGGCAATAGGTTGACTTTGCAAATCACCCAGAGAATGCTGAAAAGCACTGTGGAGTGGTATATAAGTCTAAGTGCTATTGCTATTGCTATTCAACTCCTATTCATTTGTTTTTTAAAAAATGCCAAAGGTTTTGTTACATCCCTATGCAGAGTAATCATTCCTTTCCCTTGAAGTCTTTCCAGGGGCAATTCTATCTGCTTATTTATTATCCCACCTTTATTATTTTTATAAATAACACAAGGTAGCAGACATAAGATACTCCTTTCTCCTCTCGTTTTCCCTACAACAATCATCCTATGAACGTAGAATCATAGGGCTGAAGTTGGTTGGGCTGAGACAGCACGTCTGGCCCAGTCACCCAGCTGGCTTTCAGGCTTAAGGGTGGCCTAGAAGTCACTATTCTCCTAGTTTCTAAGCCAGCATCTGACATTGTAGACCATGGGTGTCAAACTTGTGACATTATGTGACGTGTTGTGACTTTTTTCCCATTGCCGGCAATGGGGTGGGCGTGGTTTTGGTGTGACGCATCCGGCCCATGGGCCAGCAGTTTGACACCCCTAGACCACAGGTCGGCAACCTGCGGCTCCGGAGCCGCATGCGGCTCTTTGAGCCTTCCCCTCTGGCTCCCAGCCTCCTCTGCCTTTGCAGAGAGAGATAGAGACAGAGAGAGGCAATTGCGCTTCCCTGCTTCTCTCTCTCTCTCTCTCTCTCTCTGTGTGTGTGTGTGTGTTTGTGTTTTTGTGTGTGTGTATGTGTAAAAGAGAGTGTACTCACAGTGTTCTCCGAGGAGCTGAAAAGCTTTCTGGGCGGAGCTCCTCCCTTTGCTGTCTCTGCAGGAAGCAGGAAGCAGGAAGGGCAGGAGAGAGCTAGCTAGCCCAGCTAGGCTGACTCAGGAATTCTGGGAGTTGAAGTCCATGAGTCATGAAAGAGACGAGGTTGCTTACGCCTGATCTTGTTGGACAATAGCTTGAAGCTTGCCAGGTGAGCAGCAGATAGGAGGGAGGGGAGAAAGAGAGAGAGAGAAAGAGAGAGGGAGGGAGGGAGAGAGAGAGAGAGAGAGAGAGAGAGAGAGAGAGAGAGAGTGGGGGAAGAGGAGTGGCAGACCAAGGGCAGATAGGGAGGGAGGGAGAGAGACAGAGAGAGAGAGACCCTTTTGACATCTAAAATGAAGATAACACTGCATATATCCTTTTTTTAACCTGTGTGTGTATGTAATTTTATTCTCTTAAAGCATTCTCTTGGTGATCATTGTTTTAATAGTATGGATATTCCCAAGAGTCATATTTTTACTTTTTTTTTAGTGTGTGTGTGTGTGTGTGTGTGTACACACACATACATACATACACACACACGCGCGTGCGCACACACACACACACACCTATAAGAAAGGTAAAAAAGGATATATGCAGTGTTATCTTCATTTTAGATATCAAAAGGGTTTTGCGGCTCCCGGTGTTTTGTTTTTGGTGGGAAACGGGTCCAAGTGGCTCTTTGAGTGTTTTGGGTTGCCTACCCCTGCCCTAGACCAAATTGCAAACCACAAGACCAACCATTTACAGTTATCCTGAGCTTTCCCCAAGAAAGACAGAATACAGATGTTTAAACCAAGGATTCCTTGCTCTCCTGTCATTTGGATGTCATCACTCTTCTTGATTAATTCCTCATGGAATTCTCAAAGGTTATCTGTGTCTTTGCCTCAGTACATCCATTAATAAAGGAAAGAGTACTTTTGTAACTTAGAGCACCTGTGAGGTGCATCTTTGCCTGATTAGCTCCTCTGGCCTGCTCCCTCCTTTCCAATAAACGCAGGAGATGCAATTTGAGGGATGAGAGTTCTTGCTCATTTATAGTTTTAAAAGAAACTTGGGGGGGGGAGTGTCTTCTATTTCAGTTCAGGAGGTAGTGGAAGGCAGCATCCATTAGTCACCTAGGCTTGCAGGGTAGTGAACTAAAGAAGAAGCTTTCTAGAAGGTAACACCAGGCAGACTCAGAAGTTGATCCTACAAACCAGTAGTGGAGTTATTGAAATAGAGCTCCCAGCATTCTTCACCGTTGCTCTTGGAGGAGATGGAAATTCAGTTCAGAAAAAACAATGGAAGGCCATTGGATGCTTGCTTCTGACAAGCCTACCAAAATACATTGAAACCAAAGGACTTCGGTGTGTTTAGTGGGCATAGGAATTTTAGAATTGCTATAGAAATAAGTGAGCATGTATATGTTCAGTAAGTGAGCAGATGACAAGGATTACAATAATTTTACTAAGGGTATTTACAAGCCCCTCCTTTCTCAGCCAATGAATGCCCCTTTGGACAATTGTAAGATCAAATAGTGTAGCTCTTCTTGGACTGCATAATTTTAGATCTCCAGTTTTGACGTTTAAAATTGAACAATTTCATGTCACTTCTGACTCTTCCCCCCCCCCCATCAACCTAAAATGATAAAGGCTGGAATAAGTTTACAGCTTGACACCATGGCCAGCTAGGAGGCTGATTTAGAAATATAATCACAGTTAGCTTTGGTTAGTTATCAGGTAATGGATCATCTCAGTAACCAAGGAAAATTATGTCCGAGGAAGGCAATGGGAAACTCTGTGTTTCATGCCAAGAAAACTCTGTAAGGCACTAGAAGTCAAATTTGACTCATAAGTGACTTAACTTGAACTTACATGATCCTGGTGATTGCATGCCACAGTCCAGATCTTCTGCACTAAAATGCAGTCCTTGGGCCTTCTTAGCAAGCATCCTATGTGTTTCTCCCTCCCAGATGTACATTCAGACAACAACCCTCACCATCTCCATGAGCCTGAGCGCCTTTGTTTCTCTCGGGATGCTCTATGTACCCAAAGTCTACGTCATCATCTTCCACCCAGAACAAAATGTGCAGAAACGCAAGCGCAGCTTCAAGTCAACAGCCACAGCTGTCAATGCCTCCACAAGGCTCTCACAGAAAAGCGCTCAGAATGGCGAAAGCAAAGATGAGAAGCAGGACAGTAAGTAACCCAAAAGTAGGTATCACTCTTATTTGCTGTTTGATGACCCCACCTGATGTGCCTCCAGTTCACCTCTACTTGCCCTGTAAGTACCATCCCTTCCTTTCCTTCTGATTCGCCCATCAAATATTATGCCCCCCCTTTCTCCCACCACCACTGTGCCTTGGAGAAATGAAATCTTCAAAAAATTACATTCTAACCAATTACCTTCTTGAAATGAAACCTCAGTATTAGTGAGAGATATTCCTACAGGGTCCTTCAGTAGAGTAAACAAAGGTGGCCAAGAATGCTGATTCAAATGGTGCCTTAAGCTTTATTTTGTATGCTCAAAATAAAAGGGGGAAGAAAAAAATGTAAGAATGTGTGCTCAGAGAAGGTGACAAGTATCTAGCAAATACCAAAGAAAAAATAGAATTGCTCAGCCCATTTTTGCTTCATCAGGCAATTGTAAAATTCTACCGAGCTCAGGTTTGATAGAAGGGATATTTGCTTGGAGCCACCTCCGAGTTGTGTTTGCTGGTGATAGATAGATAGATAGATAGATAGATAGATAGATAGATAGATAGATAGATAGATAGATAGATAGATAGATAGATAGATAGATAGATAGATAGGATGGGCTGACAGACAGACAGATAGAAAGACAGACAGACAGACAGACAGACAGACAGACAGACAGACAGACAGACAGATAAGATAGATAGATAGATAGATATAGAGATAGATAAAGATAGATAATTTTAGTTACAGTAATAAAAACCAATGCAAACAAAACTCAGAAGGAAATTAAAAAGAGAAAATGAAAATGCAAAGAAAAAAAAGTAAAAAGGAATCAGTGAAATAAAGAAAAAAAATCTCCAAATTCCTTCCAACCTAAGATATTATGAAATAAATATTAATACATACATACATACATACATACAAACAAACAAAATGAGCAAGGAGTCAAAGGCATCATAAATACCAAGATCAAGAACCACCAGGGCCCCGATGTTTGAATTTTGACTACACCGTCAAAAGTCCCAAAGCGGTGGAGATGGCGGCTACTTTGTAGCCGTCCTCCTGAGAAGGTGTCAGATCCGCGGAGCACAGCGTTTATCAGCTGGCCCGCGGCTCGCAATCCCCTTCCCGGGCGAAGGGAAGGGGTAGAGATCGCATGAATAGAGGTAGAACCTCTTAACTCTCCCTGGATTTTTATTTTTAGGGGGGTAGAAAGAGGGTTCCCTCGGAGTTCATTGCCTTCTCCGCCTCTCAGCTGTCTTTGTTTCTTCGGAAACAAAGCGAGACGCCGCTACCATCTCCGTACTTAAAGAAACCGTGAGTAATCTTAAACCGGACAGAACTGTTTAAAGGATTTTATTTATAGTTTAGCTTTATTTTATTTTTTTTAGTTTATTTAGTTTATTTAGTATCTGCTGATTTTTTTTTTATTTTTTTGAGCTTTCTCTTTTTTTTTTGGGCGGAAAAGTGAGAGTGAAAGTAAAATGGCGTTTTGAAAGTTTTTTTTTCCTTTAAAAGACGGATCGGCTGAATTGTTGTTTAATATTGCTTTTTTTTTACTTTTTTTACTTTTTTATTCTTGGGGACTTTTAGATTGATCTTATCTTATTCTATTTTATCTTATTTTTAATTTTTTTTTGGATTATTTATTTTTATTGGTATTTTTAAGAAGAAAGGAAGATAAATTAAAATGGCTTCAAAACGACAACCAGCTACTGCAGCTTCTAAAGTAACTTCTTCTCCTGCTACTTCTACTGTGCAACAACAACTTAAAATAATACCCTCAGTGCAGCAACCTAAATCTACTCCACCTTCACCTCCCCCATCTGGCACATCAGCACAAGACATTAAAGAAATAATGGTAAGTGCTGTCTCACAGTTTAGGGAGGAAATGAAACAACTTTTGGATCAGAATAAATCTGAAACTAAGGAGGAAATGAAGAAAGAGATGAAGGAGCTTTTAGAACAGAATAATGCTATTTTGAGGGATGATATACTTTTAGCTCTATCTGGAATGGCCTCAGTGGTTGTGAAGCTGGACTCCAGAGTAGAGGAAATTGAAGAAACAGTTGAACTTTTGGATTATAAATTTCAAGATATGGAGAAAAAAGTGGAGACTTCACAAGATGATATTCTTATGTTCCAGTATAGACAGATGGAATATGCTTTGAGAATAAGGGGTCTGAAAGAAGATAAAACTCAAGATTTGATGGAAATGGTGATTAATGACTTGGCTGTTATTTTGAATATTGATAAAGAAGAGTTACGTGGGGATGTGGAAAGAATTTATAGAGTTAATTCTTGGATTGCAAAACAGAGGAATTTGCCTAGAGATGTGGTGATATATTTTGCTAAGAAGTCTTTGCGAAATCAGATTCTACAAACTTTTTATAATAAAAGATTTCAGATTGCTGCCCAAGATATTATTATTTTAAAGGAAATTCCACCTAAAATTTTAAGAAGCAGAAAAGATTTTGCTTTTTTAGTAAATGAACTTAAAGCAAGACAAATGCCATTTAGATGGGAGATTCCGATGGGCATTGTTTTGAGCCATGCGGGGACACGTTATAGACTTAATACAGTTGCTAAAGCTAAGGAATTTTATAAAACGGTCCTGGGAGCAGGCTCTCCTTTGCCCATGATGCATAAAGTCTTGAGTGACAAAGAGATGGAACAGAAATCTGAAGGTACAGGGATGATGACTGCTGGACAGGTGGTATGGATGTCTCAACCAGAGGTTAAAGAACAGAGAATGACCCGTGCAGCACATAAACGTAAAGAAAAAGAACAACAGAAAAAAGAAAAAGAAAAAGAAATTGAAGAATCTACTCAGCAAATTGCTTCAGTGCCGGTGGGAGGAGCAAGACCCAAAAGCTCTGCTACATATTCATCAGCAGCAGAATTTGAGCGGATCTTCTCCAGGCTGAAGGCCAAGGGAGATGGCAAAGCTCCTGTCCTGGAATGTTAATGGATTAAACATTCCTCAAAAGAGAAAAAAAATTTACCACTATTTGAAACAACACAACAATGATATTATTTGCTTGCAAGAAACTCATATTACAGCTAAAGATCAAAAATATTTAAATAATCCTCGCTTGGGATCTCATTTTGTATCTCCCGCCCCTGGGAAGAAAGGGGGTGTGGTAATCTATGTTAAACAGAATTTATCTGCTACCTTGTTAGAATCAGATCCTTATGGAAGATATGTTATGCTTGAACTTGGTTTATATGGCAAGAAAATTCTTATTGTGGGGTTGTATGCACCAAACCAGCAACAGGAGCAATTTTATAGGTTACTACATCAGAAAATAACTTTGTTGGACTATAGATCCGTGATTTTAATGGGAGACTGGAATGGTGTCTTAGATATACAAATGGACAAAAAAGGCTCTTCTACCTTTTTTAAACAGGCTAAATTACCTAAAGCCTTTTTTGACATGAAAGAAGATTGGGAATTGAGAGACTATTGGCGTGAACGTAATCAAGAAGAAAAGGATTTTACGTTTTTCTCAGATAGACACCAATCTTTCTCAAGAATTGATTTCTTTTTGATCACAACAGATTTATACAACAGGGTGAAGAATGTAAAAATTTTTCCTAGGACATTGTCCGATCATAGTCCAGTTTGGATGGAACTGTTTGTAGAGAAGGAAGATAGGAGATCCTGGAGGGTGAATGAGAATTTATTTAAACAAGAAAAAAATGTTCATAAATTAAAGGAATGTTTAAAGGAATATTTTACTTTAAATATGAACAAGGGAACATCAATGTCAATGGTCTGGGATGCAAGTAAAGCTTTTATGCGTGGTATTTTGATAAAAATGAATAATTTGCATAGACAGAAACAGATTCAGAAACGGAAAGACTTGGAAGAGGAGATTAAATTAAAAGAGAAACTTTTAATTTCAAATCCCTTAGATGAAAAGATTAAAGGAGCTTTAAAATTGTTAAAAACACAATTTAACATGCTGATGGCTGATCAAGCTGCAACTAATTTGCTATTTATGAAACAAAATACATTTTGTAATGCTAATAAACCAGGGAGATGGTTGGCTTATCAGTTAAGAAAAAAACAGAAACAGAGGAATATAGATAAAATAAATTATAATGGTAAATTGGTTTATCAGAAAGAATTGATTAAGAAATCTTTTTTAGAATACTATCAAAAATTATATAAGGGTACCAATATTCAAATTACAGATATAAATAATTATTTAGGCAAAGTCAACTTTCCTAAATTAACAGAAGATCAGGAAAAAAAGATTAACGGTTTAATTACTAAGGAAGAAATTGTTACAGCTATTAAACAATTGAAATTGGGCAAAGCGCCGGGTACGGATGGGTTGACATCTATTTATTATAAAGCTTTAGTAGAAGAGATGATCCAACCGTTGTGTGAACTGTTTAATAATTTATTACAGGGGTTAGAGATCCCTCCATCCTGGCGTAATGCATTTATATCATTGATTCCAAAAGATAGTCAAGATCTTACTTTGCCTAAAAATTATAGGCCTATATCTCTTTTAAATGTGGATTATAAAATTTTTGCAAAAATTTTAGCTAACAGGCTTATGGGGATCTTGCAGCAGTTTATACATAGGGATCAATCGGGTTTTATAACTGGAAGGTATATGAAGAATAACGTTAGACAAATTATTAATTTATTAGAGTATTTAGAAAAGAATAACCAAGTCTCTGCAGGCTTGATATTTTTGGATGCTGAAAAAGCCTTTGATCAAGTGAATTGGCAGTTTATGCTGTGTTTAATCAAGGAGATGAATTTTGGACAAAATATATTACAAGTATTATCCAATATATATCAAAAACAGACTGCTCAAATTATTGTAAATGGGGGTTTGTCAGAGGCTTTTGTAATAGAAAAAGGAACAAGACAGGGATGCCCGTTGTCTCCGTTATTGTTTGTTTTAACACTGGAAATTTTGTTGATTAAAATTCGGGAGTCTCAAGAAATAAAAGGAATAGAAATTAATAAAAAAGAATATAAATTAAGAGCCTTTGCAGATGACTTGGTTGTTACTTTGTCTCAACCTGTTTCTTCGGTGGTGAAATTATTACAATTGATTCAACAATATGGACGTGTTTCTGGCTTTAAAATTAATAATAATAAGACCAAAATATTAGCTAAAAACATGACTAATGGTGATAAACAGGCTCTAGTTAACTTAACAGACTTTGAAATTGTTGATAAGGTAAAATATTTGGGGGTTACATTATCTGCTTCTAATGTAAAATTGTATAAAAATAATTATGAAAAGCTGTGGATGGAGGTACAGAAGGATTTAAAAAACTGGAATAATTTACAGTTATCCCTTATGGGCAGAATTGCAGTTATTAAAATGAATGTCCTGCCAAAGTTTATTTTTTTGTTCCAAATGTTACCTATCTTAAAGAACGAACGTAATTTAGATGAATGGCAAAAAGGTATTAATAAATTTGTTTGGGCAGGGAAAAAACCAAGGGTGAAACTTAAAATAATGCAAGATTTTCGTGAGAGAGGTGGACTCAAGGTACCAAATATGAAATTGTATTATGATGCTGTAGTATTGACATTGATTAGCGATTGGGTGAATTTAACAAATACAGAAATACTTCATTTGGAAGGCTGGGACCTATTTTTTGGATGGCATGCCTATTTAATATTTAATAAAAAAGTGGATTGGGTTTTTAAGTCTCATATTATAAGAAACTCTTTGCTAAGAGTGTGGAGAAAGTATTATAAAAGTGACTTCAAAATACCATTATGGGCTATACCTCGGCATGCCATAGAAGGTATAAGGAAAGGGGTAAATATGGACAAGGTCTCTTACGTACAGTTATTAAGATGGGATGGCCAAGACTGGCAGTTAAAATCTTTGGAAGAATTAACACATGAAAACTTAACTTATTCATGGTTCCAATATAGACAAATAGTGGATAGATGGAAGATGGATTGTAAAATGGGCTGGCTTAGAGAAGATGAATTTTTTTAAAACAAGTAAGAGATCAAAGGCCAACCCATATTAAGAGAGTTTATGGGGTTTTAGTGGAATTAGATTCAGAACTTGAACTAGTTAAAGATTGTATGATTAAATGGGCACAGAATATTGGTGAAACGATTTCAATGGATACTTGGGAACTTATTTGGATAAGAAATGTTAAATTCACACAAGCGCAAAATTTAAGAGAGAATTTTTATAAGATGTTTTATAGATGGCACCTTGACCCAAAGAAAATGTCCATTATGTACCCTAATCTACAGCCGAAATGCTGGAGATGTGGATATTTGGATGCTACCTATTACCATATTTGGTGGACGTGTAAGCATATAAAAGCTTTTTGGATTAAGATATGGTGGAATATTCAAAGAATTTTTAAAAGAAGGGTAAAATTTACTCCGCAATTATTTTTACTAGGTATTGTTATTGACTGTGATGCTAAGGAGGTTATATTGATGTTAAATTTGATTACAGCCGCTAGGTTGTTAATAGGACAATATTGGAAGAAGGAATCTTTGCCTACTTTACAAGAATGGTTTCATAAAGTTTCGTATTTGGCAGAAATGGCAAAGATTTCGGCTTTCTTAAAGGAGCAATCTCAAGAAAAATTTTTTGCGGTATGGGAAAAATGGATAAATTTTATACAACATAATTTGGATATGGAAAAATATTATTTAGCCTTTTTATAATTTGTAATGATTGTTTTTTCTTTCTTTCTTTCTTCTTTTTCTTTTTTATATATATACATTTTTAATGTATTATTATTCATATATTTTTTTTTTTTTTATATATATATATGCTTTATTTTTCGTCTACTTTCTTCTTTCTTCTTTCTCTCTCTCTCTTCTCTTTTTATTTTTTATTTTTTTTCTTTTTTAGTATATATTATTCATTTTAAAGTTTATGTTATGTATATTATTTCTATATATATTATTACTGTGATTTTTATTATTATTATTAATTATTTTATAAATTGCAAATGTTATTTTTAAAATATTTGTTAAATAATCCTATATTCAGTTCTGGGAAGTCGGGGGGGGGGGTGGGGTGGTTGGGGAGGGGGGGGTGGATTTTTATTTGTAAAACTTTTGAAAAATTTCAATAAAAAAAAAAAAAAAAAAAAAAAAACCAGACATCCCAATCTGGCATCCTTCAAGTTGTTTGTAAATAATGGGAAGTGAATTCCAGTACCTTGGAAAGGCATAAGCCTGAAGAAAGATATTGTAAATTATCCCAAATCCCCAAATGAACAGAAATATGTTGATAATAGGCACAAAAGTGAACAGAAAGACTGGTCTAAGGTGGATTTCTGCATATGTTTGTTAGCTTCATTAACTTAAACTAGGCATTCCACTTTTCTTTCATACTGACTTGTAAGGCAATTTTTTTTAAAAAATGCTCTTCCAATATAAACATGCATTGCAAAGAATAAAATCCCCTTCTTCATTGTAAGTATAAAGAGATAAAAAGTTAAAAGATGAATTACCAGTATGCCTTGCACATCAGCCGTTTAGCTGCATTGACCCCAAACTGCTTTTGTTTCTCAAATATTTTCTACTCACTCTACATAATTATGTTGGTTTCAGTGCTTCCAACTCCTCCTTCCCTCCTATCCATATATATGCAATCAATTCAGGGATAGGAAAAAACAGGGAATCATCAAAATGAGAAGCTGTTTGTTGGGGGTTATACATCTGGCTGCTCTAATTTTGATAATCAAGGTGAACCAAAATACAGATGGATGAGAGAGAAAGTGAGTGGAGCAGCGCAGGGAGTTTTACCGGCTGTCCCTAGTTCATACAAAGCTGTGCAATCTTGGTTGTAGCAGGATTTACACCCTTACCAGGGCCATTGTTTATAAGCCTTGGTAGATTGGCTGAGTCTTTACTCCAGATAAGAACTGGGCCTCCCCCAAATTCCTCCCTCTCAAAGGGGGAAGTGGGATCCTCTGACTCTTGTCCTTTTTGTGTCCCCCCACAGGTTTTCCTAAGGTGATGTACATCAGCTACACAGAACTGACCATGGTGCCCACATGACGGAAAAGGAAAAAGGGCTTATTTGGGGGGGGGGAGTGGAGAGGGCAGAAGGGAGCAAGGAAAGCGGATGGGGAAAGCTTTTGGGGAATGGAGTTCATGTGAGGATTCATGGGTGGGCACACATTAGGAAATAAACCTGTATTTTTACACTATTTGTCTTTTATTTTTTTTTAAAAAAAAATCCAGTTTCAATTTGCAGAAACCAAAGGCTCAGATGCATTCAGGATCCCAAAACTAGGATCTGTGATGATAACCTTGCAGAACATTAGCCACTGAAATAAACTATTGTCCAATTTGTTACTGGGATAAACTATTGCGCTGTCAAATTACAGAGGTTTACTTCAGCAATTGTTTTAGAGCAATTTATCCTGAAGGTCCAAATATTGGAAGAGAGATCTTGCCCTCTCTTTTCCTGCTTCCTTATTGCAAAGATGGAACTAGATAGTGCTCTAATAATAACTTGCTAATAGTTATTTTAAGGTTTATTTATAAGAGAAAAACAAAAATAGTTGAATCAAATAATTTAATCCTACAGTTTGATACCTGTGTCCAAGAAGATGTGGATTTTAATCTGTGCTATGACATTCTGTGAATGAATGAATGAGTGAATGAATGAATGAATGAATGAATTTGCAATCATAAAACAACAAACTAAGAAATGCTATAAAAGCAGTATGTTTTCTTGCTCCTTGGTCATTTTATTATACTTTAAAATTTATTTTTCTGATAAGAACCTTGGGATAAAATATATTGTCCTTCCTCTCTGTGATGTTTAGGTTCATAACATTCTTTTATGGTAGCCTAAGTTAATACAGCATGACTGAAATGATGGCTGAATAAAATTTCTCCCGTCATTTCACAAAACATGGTCATTTCAATCTTGTTCTAGAATAAATACTGGCCTTATCTTGGCTGAGTTTTGGAAAGTTAAGAAAAGTTGAAATAAATAGTATACTGTAGGTCTTTGGTTGTTCGGGTTTTCTCCCGCGTAAAATTGGAAGTGTCTTGGCGACGTTTCGATGAAGTCCCATTCATCATCTTCAGGCTGGTGTTTTCAGCTTCGTGCTTTGAGCAGCAATGTGTGGTCTTAGCTGTTTCTTCCTTTTAACTGCCAGTGGGGGTATGAACTGATTGGGTGGGAGCTTGGCTGTGTTCTGATTGGGTGGAGGTGTGTTCTGAATGGTTAGGGACTTGGCTGTGCTCTGATTGGCTGGGGGAGTGTTCTGTTTGGTTGTGCTCAGGTTAGTCTGAGTTGCAGAGGGGTTTAAGATTTTGGGCTGCCTTGCTATTTTTTGGCTTCGCGTTCGTGGTCGTGCCCTCCATGAAGAGGAGACATGACCACGAACGCGAAGCCAAAAAATAGCAAGGCAGCCCAAAATCTTAAACCCCTCTGCAACTCAGACTAACCTGAGCACAACCAAACAGAACACTCCCCCAGCCAATCAGAGCACAGCCAAGCCCCTAACCATTCAGAACACACCTCCACCCAATCAGAACACAGCCAAGCTCCCACCCAATCAGTTCATACCCCCACTGGCAGTTAAAAGGAAGAAACAGCTAAGACCACACATTGCTGCTCAAAGCAAGAAGCTAAAAACACCAGCCTGAAGATGACGAATGTGACTTCGTCGAAACGTTGCCAAGACACTTCCAATTTTACGCGGGAGAAAACCCGAACAACCAAAGACCTATATACAAATACCCGCGAAAACCTCAGAAAAATATATATATATATATATATATATATATATATATATATAATAAAATATAAAAATGAACACTAGAGTAATAAAAACTAAGGAAGTTTTTAATAGGTTAAAACTATAAAAGTTTTAAAAAGCGCCAAGCTTTCGCCGTCACCTGCCGGCATCCTCAGGGCTGGCGTGCCAGAGAATGAGAAGGTCTTTTTATAGGCGTGCCGAGGTTTGCGCTCGGCTCCTTGATCTTGTTATGGGGCCTGATTGGTTCAGCCGTATGTAGTTGGCCTGCACTTTTTTTCTCTTCTTAGTTGTATTTTTATCCTCGTCCGTCTCCAGTTCTCCCAACCTCAGATTAGCTGAATGGCAATTCCAGTTATTTCGGTTGCTTTCATGTTCCGATCTCCCCTCAGGCTTGGGTGGTGGTGGACGTTCCAAGTTCCTTTCTCCACCCCGTTCTGTCCGGTTGCTACTTTTAGAGTCCCATATATTTCCGGTCTCAATGCTTTCGGTTTTAATATGTTTATCATCCTGGTAATCCCGTAAATTGTTACGAGTCTGGTGTAGCGTGGGGGGGTATTCCGCATGGTGGAGGGGTCGTCTCTTGTTCGTTGTCATGCCCAGCTGTCTCGCACGTGTCTTACTCCGAGTGCTCAATACACATACATACATACATACATACATGCCCTCTTTGTGTACACTCACACACATATATGCACACATACACAGAGAGAGGAAGAGGGAGAGGGAGGGAGGGAGAGAGGGGGGGAATACAGTATGTATATACCACACTTGGAATACTGTATCTAATTTTGGTCACCACGATACAAAAAAAGATGTTGAGACAGAGTGCAGAGAAGAGCAACAAAGATGTATAGGGGATTGAAGGCTAAAGCATACATTGGAACTGGGAATGTCTAGTTTAATGAAGAGAAGGTCTAGGGCAGGGCTTTTCAATCTTTTCATCCATTGTACCACTTTTAGGATATGGCAATATCCAAGTACCACCAGTCACTTAGCAAGGTATCAAAAACCTGATGACCCATCCCCCCAAAAGGAGAAAAGTGATAAAGTACAGGTAGTCCTTGACTTACAACAGTTCACTTAGTGACTGTTCGAAGTTACAATGGCACTGAAAAAAGCGCCACCCAAGCCACAGCCGAGCAAGACATCTGCCTGCCCGCCTGGCGGCACTCTTCCTCCTGTCCAAGGTTTCCATTGTTGTGAGCATTTCTGTTGAGGATTGGCAACGGGGGTGGGGTGGGGGGTGTTTGGTTTTTATCCCCCCCCCATCTGTTGGGTGGTTGCTGCAGGTTTTGGTCACTTCACATGACCCTGGGACACTGTGACCATCATAAATATGAATCAGTTGCCAAGCATCTGAATGTAAATCACAAGACCCTAGAGATGCTGCAACATTCCAGTTGATCGGCACTTCTTCTGGGCTCAGCAAAAGCACCAGGATCAGCGCTGAGCTCCAGCTGGAGCCTGGCGCTGATCCTGGCGCTTCCACTGAGCCCTGACAGTCCTGCAGCTCCAGCCATCTCTCGCTCAGGCTTGTGCCGTGCTGCCACCGGTTCAGCTCATTTTCCTCCCCCGCTACTTTTCTAGGATGGTCGCGTACCACCTGCCAGGTGCCAATGTACCACAGGTGGTACCCGTACCACTGGTTGAAAAGCCTTGGTCTAGGGATGTCATGATAGCAGTCTTCCAATATTTGAGAGCCTGTCACAGAGAGGAGAGAGTCAGCCTATTCTCCAAAGCACCTGAGGACAGAACAAGAAGATATGGATGGAACAAGATACATCCAACCTAAAATTAAAAAGAAATTTTCTGTCAGTGAAAACAATTAACTAAGATTGCCTCTAGAAGTTGTGGGTGCTCCATCACTAGAGATTTTTAAGAAGAGATTGGACAGCTATTTGTCCAGAATTGTATAGGGTCTTCTGCTTGGACAGAGGCTTGGACTAGAAGAGCTTCAATGTAACTTCCAACACTGTTATTCTGTACTCTGAATAAAGATGGGAGCCCACCAAGAATTACCAGGGTGGTGGGCTAGATTGAAAAATGTCTTGCAAGATGATCAGGGCAAGTCCCTTTCCAACCTATTGCAAAGAATTTGACATGGGAGTATCCAAAGAGCCCTAGGAGTTGAGTTCCAATTATTCTAAATCTAGGATATACAACAGGATAACTGACCCAGCAGTAGGTTAAAGAGTGACCTTCTAGGTAAATGTGTTTTAAAAAACTGTAATGCAGACTTGAACACTCTTCAGTGTAGATAGCATTTTTGTATATGCCAACAACATCACAAAGGAAAAATTTGGCCTTGCCACATCATTTCCTCAGTCACTTTTCCTTTTACTCATTGGCCTCCTCTGATGCGCTGCCCAGAGACACTTCTAACTTGACTGCGGATGCTCTCTCTCCACAGCTAAGTCCCACATCACTCTGCTAAGGTTTGCAGGTGCAGCCAAAGGTATAACTCCTATTGTTGCAGATCAAGGAATAGTTCCTCACTTGATGAGATCTCCAGAGTCTCAAAAGTCATCAGACCAAATATGGAAGAAATCCTGGAGAAACCTCCCATGGATTGGAAAAAATGCCTCTTCTTAGGTGTGGAACTTCCAGCAGTTCCTGGATCAATCTGGCCTTCTTCCCCTTGTGAACATGCAAGAAATTTATCCCCCATCCCTCCATTCCAAGTCTTGCAATTAATTATGGGGGGGGGAACAAAAATTTATGGCTGAAAACCAGTTCATCATTTGTTTTATTTATTGTTCTAATCACCCCATTTTATCTAATTAACTATTCAGTTATAGTTCTAAAGGTTGCAACATCTCATTAGAGCAGCTCTGATGTGAGGTATTTATAATTTAGCATCCATTACTATTTTATCATTTGAAAGGAAGGTCATGAGGAATGTTTTCTTTATAGCCAGATGGATGGAGTTAAAAAAAGAAAAGAAAACAAATGGCACTCTTGTCAACTTGAATCTCCCCAAATAAAATGATTACTTATTGGATTGGATTTATATCCCATCTCCTCCAGCAATTTAAGGTGATGTACAGAGTTCTCCCTCCTCCAATTTTTCCCCACAATAACAATGTGAGGTGAGTTGCCAAGAAAAAGCATAACACTCTATTTATGTCACCAGTAAGACTGAGCCTCTAGCCTAACATTGTCTGTGAGAGGCAAATGGCTGAGGCACATTTTTCCTCTAGCAACCTAAGATGATGTAAACCAAAAATGTCTTGAGGGGAGGAGCATGGAAGATGTCTCTGCAGGAAGAAAATCCAGGTCTTTCCCCCTGAAAGTCAATAGGAACCATCAATCTCAACTGAAAAAGGACAGGATG